TGTAAACTGGAGAAATTAGAGTGAGTTACTGACATATTGTCTCTACACACACATACTGTGGTCCCTAGAAATATTAAAACTACCTAGCAGATTGAATTGTGTTTTGTGTGAGATCACAAATTGCTTTAGAATGAACATGTATACAGAGAAAAAAAGTTTTCTTTTCTTCAAAAGAACAAGGCTTTTAGTAATAAATTTGTTTCAAAATAAATGAATAATATATAAAAAAAAATCATATATAGCAAAGGGCAAAAAATAGTAATAACAAAACCCAAGAACTATGAAATGATGGTGCCTGATGAATACTGAAGGGCAGTAAGGAAAAATTTCTAGTGCTTGAATGTTTTAGAAACACATGACAATTCTACCTTGATTTGAACAAACTGTCAGGCACGCTGAGATGTGTGAAGTTGATAAAACACACAATAGATGACTATGTCAGGCATTAAATACCCAAATTCATTTACTGATTAAGTGATTGGGGGAAGCTGTCTTCCTGCAGCAGGGGTCTCATTTGGATGCCCATCTGGTTGCAACTTCAGCCATGACCACCAACTCAAAGTTGCTTCTCTGGTCAATGTGGAGCTCCTCTGGCACCGGATCTCATTATTTCCTTGTACCTATGAAAGAATGTAACCGAAAGCCCTTGTCACTGGCATCAGCATCCATTTCGAAATTTCTAAAAACAGCTTTCCACTGGAAACGCCAGTATCAGTGTTTCACACAGCTGGGCACAGAGGGCAATAAACACATGCTCAGCTTCCAAACCCACACAAACCCACATATGAAGTGCAGATAGTATGATGCTAAGCCAAGAAAGTTATGCAGCTCATCAACACTCCACAGCGTGGGCCACTGTCACAGCACATCCACTTTCTGTTTCCACCCTTGCACTGCTCACTACATGGCCGAGATGGCTTATGAGCCACTGACAATGGTTGCCTTTTAATAGTGTGCAACCACAGTTTTGTGGACTTGATAGCTTGAATACCTTCTCCATATTTGCAAGCACCTCATAAATAATGTGGATCAAGGTAGATGAAGCACTGGTCCTTGGGGACACCAACAAGCATTCACTCTAACATAGCCAGGCCATTTCAGGGAGCCAAAGGTCATTACCTTGAAATGCCAAAGTCCCATGCTCAGCATAAACACCATCTTTTCTCTGGCATCCAGAGCGAATGCCACCTGCCAATACCCACTCTTCAGTTGGTGAATCAGTCCAAGGCATCATCAGTGCATGAGAGCAGATACAAATCTGGCTTAGTTACAGTGTTGAGCCGCTGGTAGTCCAAAAACTTCCATCCACTTTCTTTGTTAGGATTCTTAATCTGGTTTTCCACAGTGTATGGCTTTACCAAAACCACAGGATAATGCACAGGATTATCCCCTGCGATTGATTTCCTTGGCCACCTGACTCTTATTTCACCTTCAAATTATCTGCTAATCCTAAATGTTCACATACTTTTTCCACTCACAGATATGTAATATTGGATCATTTTCCTCAACAAATAAATGGCCAGTTCTGCTGGTTTGGTCTCATTTGTCTATTTTGGTTCTTTTTATCTACGTTTAGGACTTGTGTAAAAATCTGATAAAGTTTTAGGTCAAACGTATGCAGAATTATAGAAATTTCTAAAGGATTTATTTACTTCCAAGCACCATTGTATATACCATGGAGAAGAAAATCGGATGCTCTCTTGGATGTTTCAAGAATTTAACCCTTTAGTTTTCAAACAAAAATTACCAATCAAGTAAAAGTATGACTAGTAATTCGATACAACAAATGTAACGGCTTATGTTAAATAAATACAAATTAAATATATATATATATATATATATATATATATATATACATATATATATATATATATATATATATATATATATATATATTACAAGCATTGTATTTGTTAATTTCACAAAAAATCATTAGACCTTCTCTGAAGACCTAGAAGGCCATAAATTTTGTTTTCCCAGTTTTATGAATATTGCATAAGGTATGCACTTTATTTTCAGCTTATGTGTATAATGTGATGGTGATTACATTGATTAAGCTTGTGTATAGTTTACAACTTCTGAACATAATGAACAAGTATGTTCATGCCTGATCATTCTGTCATGTTTTCTGTCTTACAGCATATTCATACCTGTATAAGTCTACCTCACTGGGGTTTATGAAGAAAGGACAACAAACATACACACACACAAACAGTATATGATCCTACATGCTAATGTTTTTTGGTCCTTACTGCTGAAATAGTTCCATTGTCTATTGGTATATTATTTCTGTGGACATCTATGAGCATGCAAAGACCCATAATGTTCTGGTTCCTAACATCAATTCAGGCTCTAGGCTAAATGCCCTGAACCCTAAAACTGGAGCCATGGCATAAAACGTGGCATGGAATATAATTTCCAGCATTGTGACTCTGCACATTTTGTAACGTTCCACTGCTTTGGAAGGAGGCACACAGCTTTTCCACAACTGTAGACTTTATTAAAGGCTGTCTCTGGCTCCAGCCTTGCCTCACACATGAAAGGGGAACACACAAAATATACTTTTCAGTTGAAAAATGCTACTCGTATCTCACCGACTGCTGAATTGTGTGAAGTAATCCAAACAGCACAGTGGCTGTATCTCAGCAGCAGCATTATCTAAAAGAAAACCATTTCAGCTCAGCTACCTATATGGTTACCTTGTAAGGTCACTTTCAGATAATAGCCCAAAGCTCAATTGTTGTCTAACAAACTTTATGATTTATAACTGCTTACACATTTATACCAAATCTGACAGTTAATGAAGACACCTGGACACATTTATGCCACACGGCTACAGCTCAGCTGAACTTAAGGAAGGCAGATAATAAATGTAGGTTTGTTGAACTAGTCAGACACAGCCCCAGTTTAGCTGTTTAAATGTGTTCCCTTTTCTTCTTGTTGATAGAAAAGCTTTTACATTTAACTGCAGTTTTGGAACAAAATCACACCCAAAAGCTGCACCGTGTGGCATTGCATTTAATTTTTTTCTGAGCTGCATCCGCAGGGCAAATCATCTGTGTTTATCTCCAGTGCAATGATTTGACATCACCCAGTGTGAACTGTACATCTAAAATGATGGGGACTCTGATATGTCCCAGACATCTTGAATAAAACTGAGGATTTTCATAATAAATAAAATAATTTGTCATTTTAACAACATATTAAATGGTTTAGGATATTTACTGCGATACGAATCAGCGTTCCTTTTAAGGTGCTAACAAAGAGCCTGAAAATGGTGCCACTAGACAATATCATTGTATTTGTTTCTATAAGTGTATAAGAGTATTATTTTTCTATAAATGTAATTCCATCACTTGTTGCTTCTATTATGCCAAAGTCCTATGCCATAAATTAAAGACAAAATAAGAATGTACAGTGTATGACAAACTAATATAAATTATGGAAGCTTATAATTGTACCTGTTTGAAATGTTGATGCTTTATAGTTGCTTTACATATGTGTGAATATTAAACTGTGAACAAAGATTTTATCTTTTTATGAGTTTGGGCTGAACCCTCAGTAAATATGTTGTATATGTATGTAGCATTTGATTGTACTTAGTGACACAAAATATCTTCTGACATGCAGTTTTAAGTAACACATATACAAAAGTCCACCACACCTTTGAAATTTTTGTCTTATGTTTGTTCGTTTTTTTTTCTTTTAGGCTGCATTAATATTTTAAGTTCAGTTTTATTTCTTTTTCAGGGTGTGTTCTGCTTGGCATGCTTGGTTCAATTAAAATGAACCCTGGTGTGATTGCTCTGTTAATGCGGTTCGTTAGAACAAGTGAGAACACTATCATCCAAATGCTGATGGGCGCTATATACGCGGCCTGAGACCCCTTGAGGAGGACACAGTCAGTCCTCTACCAACCAAACTAAGTTAATTTGAAATATGAATGCAAAATAAACAAAATACATCAAAACCAACAATGAACTGAAATTACAGGACAGATACTTTTAGTTTTAGAATGAGGCTGTCAAACATTTGAAGCCACTAAAAGATAATGAATGTACATATTTGACCACACGTCAGTTATATTACATATTAATGTGGTGATTTTCAACGTTTTATTATGAATAATCTACTCAAGAAGTAGCAGTGATTTAACCTCACTTCACAACATGGAAAACAAAGGTAACATTCAGCCTCTTATGTCTTTGTTGGAGTTATTGTTCCAACACAGTTATGGGTCTGGAACATTATAAAGTGAAGCACATGATAAGTCATTATTAATGAACAAATTGTTACTGTGTTCTTTTTTTTTGGAGTTAATAATGATCTAGAACAATTTTATTAAGTGAAACACATGGTAACTCTGGTCTGGTTAGCTTTGCAACAGCAAACATGCCAGTTGCCCTTTACATTGTGTGTAAATTTCATGATGAATAGACTAGTAGAATGGTAAATAAATAAATTTACCATAAATAAATAAATATAATAGTATATAAATATAATAATAAAATAAATTTATAGTGTGTTTTTACCTTCTCCTGTAAAGTTATTGTAAAGTTGTGAAGTTTAAAGATACAAGATTTTGCTCTGACAGTGCTATCTGCCCTACTTCTGCATTCTCCAGCTAGAAGAACAAAAAGCACATCCTCATGTATCTACTTGTATAGTTTTTTTTTTCTTCCCACCTGCATGACCCACCTGCATGATACATCACTGAAGGGGATTTTCTAGTTTTTTACCCATAAAATCTCACCTCAAGACTACTGCAGCACCACTGCATGAGGCAAGTTGGCATGTTTACAACAGATGTAGAGTTTAAATTCTGTGCCCCTTTAATGTCTGTTGAAAATATATAAAGATGTTTGTCATGTAATTTATGTTTGGCCTGTGATAATGTGACTCTTGCTGCTTTACTGGAATATCTTGTTCCAGTAAAACACACTCTGTCGGTGATATTTGGTGTGTATTGATCAAAGTTAATGATTTGTGGAACCCACTTTTGGAGCCCATTGCATTGTCCAGATGTGTTGTGTCCAGTTAGGTAACACGGACGAAGAGAGAAAGTGAGAGAGAGATAGAGTCCACAAGACGAAGGAAGAAGAAAAGAAGGCAAGAAAAAAGGAAACAAAGGACAGAAGAAATATGAGGACCACATTTGTCCTTCTCCTCGTTCTTCTGCTCCAGCGGTGTGGACATGGTGTAAGTGTTTTAGTGGTCATTAAGTTGGTTTGTTGATTTGAACAAGGGGTCATTTCTGTTTACTCTGCAGTTTGTGGTAAACTCTGACCTTAAATTATACAAGTTAATCCTAATTTACTGAGCTGGAGTCATTAGATAACTGTTTTAGCTGCAGTTGAGAGTGATTATGCTAAATCATTATGAGAAAATAATGAGACTAAGTCAGTGTAAATCTGGTTTTGGTCTCTTATTGATCACAGTTATTAATTACTGTGGAGGCATCAGAGTGAGGTTCATTAAAGTTTTCCCAAATGTAGCTTAAATCTATGATAAATATAAAATAAATGACATTTTTAAAGACAAAACATCAGATTTTCCTCCCTTTTTATTTTAAACATTGTGGAAAAGCCTTTGGCCTTAACATCAAGTTGCTTATTTTACACGGATTGCAACAATAATAGTGGTTATGATAAAAAAAAAAACTAACACAAATAACTCTTTTTCTTCTGGTAATTTCCTGAGTGCTTAAAAAGTTAATCGGCTTCCAACCCCTTATTGCCAGAGACGGATTACTGACCGGGCCAGTGAGGCCTCTGACTGCCAGTTAACGAGCAGCCCTTACATATAATGACTAAATAAATACCCACAGCCTGCCACTATATTTAAAATAATTAACAAAAATCCCAAACACCAAAATATACAGAAATATAACTGCAGGAACTAATTTGAGAATTCATTGTTTGAATTCGTCATTACATTACATTTTTTCTGCACTGTTCAAAGTGCATATAAACAAATATAAGTCGTTTATTAAAGGACCCACATCCAAAATAGGTTTTTAATTATTATTTTTTCTTGAGGTCCATTGTCAAGACATTTGTGTTAGAAAGGCTTTGGGTAAATAAAAAATTGTCCAATCTCTATTTTCCTTAGAATTAAACAGACTGCCTTTAAGACTCATATATGTAAATGACCTCTATTCTGATTGCCCTGTATTGGACCTCAGTCAAAAAGCAGTCTGGGCTTAAATACTTCTTTTAATTTCAGCCAGACTGGGTGGGGCTAAGTTGCTATAGACTGAATGGGTGGATATAAGCAAGATCTTTTTAGAACATCCCTAAAGCAAAACAGGGTATTTTTATAGCTCACTTTCCATATATGGACTGCAGAGTGGACAGTACATTGTAAAACTTTAACAGTGTTTACATACAACATCCATGTTTTTTACTGGAAAAAAGTGAGGAAATCCCATTAAATGTCCCTTTAAAGTTACTTTTTTTTGGTAATTTCTTGTGTTATTGTCAGAGTGTGGCATTGTGAGATCATGATCTGTCCCTCCTTATGGTGCCCCTGGTATTTTTCTGTTGGTTTACTACTGTGGGTTCAATGAACTCTAAATTTTGAGGCATTAGGGGTAGTTCTTTGTTAAGTTGAAATAAACTCTTCTGTTGCTCTATGAAAACTGTAAATGTTCTGTTTATTCAGGAGACTCCAGAGGAGGATTCTCTTCCTAGTGGACCTGCAGGCAAACACAAAGGATCAAAACCCGGAGTAAAGCCAGGCCCTCCTCCACAGCCTCCCAAAAAAGTCCCTGATCCCCAGCCCAAGAAATCTGACCATGATCGTTTGTCTCCGGAGTGTCTGAATGAGAAGTACACACGCCTGTCCTGTTCTAAAGTGTTCTGCCCGCCGTGGAGGCGCTGCATCAACGGGAAGTGTATCTGTAAACTGCCCTATCAGTGTCCACGCCTGGGCAGAGCTGTCTGTGGACTGAATGGACAGTCCTACATCTCCTTCTGTCAGGCACAAGCTGTCGCCTGCAAAAGAAACACAGCGGCGTTCTCTCACTATAGAGAGAACCTATGGCAGAACTGTGATGAAGGTGAGATCTAGAGGGAGAGAAAGAGAGATGAGAGAGATACTAAGAGAGAGAGGGAGACAGAGAGGAAGGAGACAAAGAGAGAAAGACAGACAGAGAGAGAAAAACAGACACAGAGAGAAAATACACTATTATCTACATCCAAAATGCAGTAATAAAAATACTGAAAAATACAATTTCTAATTTCTTCCTACATTTAATTTTATTCTTGAAAAAGGTTGGTGGAGTGTGTGTAGATTCTGTTCTTACCTAAGAACAAATCCCAAATAAGAAAACATTGGTGAACGTCAGGATCTTTGTGAAAATTTCTTCTTAAGAACGGTTGGTGAATAAGGCCCAATAATTCCAAGCTTTTGAACAGTAATGTATGTTGGTCAGTTAGAGAACAAAGAATTACTGTGTATTGTTACAGATGCTTTTGAGGTGGAGCTAAAGAAATCCGGTGATCGAGAGGTGGTTCACGTGGAAACTGAAAAAGGAGAAGCTCTGATTTGTGGAGCTAAATCGTGGGACATGGCTGCAGCTAATGTTATCTGTCGCAGCCTGAAAGCAGAAGCCAGGTAATCCTACCTGTACAGTCAGGTAAACCCCCCTTGTACAGTCAAATATTCCCACCTGTACAGCCAGGTAATTATATATGTACACTCGGATAATCCCACCTCCCACCTGTACAGTCAGGTAATTATACTTCTACAGCCAGTTAATTCCACCTGTACTGTCAGGTTATCATACCTGCACTTTCAGGAAATCTAACCTGTACAGCCAGGTTATCACATTTGTACATCCAGTTAATCCCTTCTGTATAGACAGACAAACTCACCTGTACAAACAGGTAATCCCACTTGCAGAGCCAAGTTACCGCAAATGTGCTATCAGGTAATCCCCCCTGTACTGCCAGGTCGCACTTGTACAATCAGATAATCCTACATGAGCAGCCAGGTAATCCCACTTGTATAGCCACATTATCACAACTGTACAATTAGGTGATTCTACCTGTACAGTCACATAAACTACCCTGTACATCCGGGTGTAAACACCTGGACAGCCAAGTAATCCCACCTATATTTTAAAATAATCACATCTGTACAGTCATGTAATCCCTTCAGTACAGCAAGTTTCCTATTTTTCTTTTCTTTCTTTTAAATTAGAGGTGCAGCTTCTGCTCAGAAGATAACAGCTAAGGATCTGGAGGTTGGCCATCAATGGCCATCTCAGTGCATAAGTGTGAGCTGCACAGGATCTGAGTACTCTCTAGCTGAATGTACCATCTATAAGCCTCAGAATGTGGAGGAGGATACTCAGATTGCTGCCTTAACCTGCTACAAGAAACCCCAAGGTGCCGTTCCCCCATTAGAACCCACTATTGTTGTAATTATGTTGTAAGGGTCCATATCAACACCCCATGTCCCAATGTTGCTCTTCCTGGCTGTCAGAAAGCAAATTAATCACTGCAGCCTTTAAACGATCAACACATCAGAGATGAGTTTATCTATTTACGTTCCCAAAGATGTCATTCAAGAAAAAATATAGAATATGGGCGCTTTATTAAAATAAAATAATTAAGTATTGCCAGAATGCATTGAGTGGCTACCTTGAGTGAATGAATAAATGCATTAGTTTTTATCTATTCTGGCTCTTTTTCTCTGCATTAGATGATGACGAGTGTCCGGAGTTCCGCTGTGTGAATGAGAAGTGTATTTTGTGGAAACACACCTGTGATGGTGTTGATCACTGTGGAGATAACAGCGATGAGATGTGCTGCAAAGGTGAGTACTTTATCAGTTCTACAGCCTCAATTTAAATATCACATCATACATAGCAGATCATATCATATTAAAAAAATAAATTCAAGAAAAAACTATTTAATTCAGGCAACCCTACAAAATTTCAAATCTTAGTACATTAAAAACAGACAATGGACACATTAAATAACATTTGATCTGCAGCCCATTTGGTCAGATTCTGAAGAGGAGAGTGACAGGACTGCATCAGACACTTAACCTGTCATTGATCCAAAGTCAGCTTTTCAGTTGGCAGCTTAACAACTAAATAAACCAGAATCAGCCAGAAACTAATAGAATACAGTTCAGCAAATAAGATGGGCTTTGTTCCAACTTCACAGACTGGAACAAAACCACATTCAGCTCAATCTGGAAAATAATAAAAAGCTGAGCTGAACCTGATATTGGAGCAGTTTTGTGGCTCCATCTGTACCTCAGAAGGGTACTTTCTGGTGGAAAGAACTGCCAATAAGCACATTTCATACAACATTTAGGGATTTTTCACTTTCTTTATTTTTTACAGAACTGTTGTATATGGACTATTCAACTCAAATAGTTTAAACTGCATTATTTAAAAAACAACAACAAAGTATTCAGACCTGACAGGAAGTGAGACTGCATCCCTGTCCCTCATATCCACATAGTGGGCAGTTCGATACAATTGTTTTAAAGTAAATGTGCCCCAGTCTGAAAATCAGTGTGGAAGATTAGAAATTGCCACTAACGAAACACATATTTTCTGCATTTAAGTAAACTTTTTTGTGTTTTAATGAAAAATATGATGATTATATGTCTAAACAGCTGTTCAAACTGTGGCTAGCATTTTTGAGTTTTGCACAAAGTGAGCTACAATTGTCATTATCAAAACAGTCACCACTGAAACATTTTGTAAAGTTTCAGAGGCATTGTTATTGTTTTGGTAGTGACAGAATAGAACGTTTAACCATTTGTTTTAATAAAATAAATATAATTAAGGTGTAAGGTCACTCAAAGCATAAGGATTTTAGTCCAAGGTAAGTTAAAAACTCAGGCCTTGAACCAGTTTGGTAGAGTAATCTGTAAAACTGTGGAGGCTCATGCCTGAAACTGAATCACAGCTGTGATATAATCTGCAGTAATATACTCCCTCATGTGCTCTGTTGCTTAAATATGTTTTAATGTTTCTTAGGTATACAGTATATATTGTCTAATACATATATAAAGAAAATATTTTCAATGGTGATAACAAACCTCATCACACTCTTCTAATATATATATATATATATATATATATATATATATATATATATATATATTAATTCATTACCTGCTTATTTAACTTGTATCTCTGTTCTAATCTGACTGCTGTGTGTTCAGAGTGCCAGAGTGAGGCGTTCCACTGTAAGTCTGGAGTGTGTATTCCGGGCCACGCTGTTCGGGATGGGATCAAAGACTGTCTTGGAGGAGACGATGAAGTCCCCCCCGCTGTAGTGGGACCTGCTGAAACTAGTGAGATTCATTTATTTCCTCTCTCAGCACAGCCCATATTACATAATACAGCGCAGGTGCACTCACAGCTAGATAAAGACCCCCACAGGCCCCTGGGTGTGGATGCTCTAAGGCTCCTCTAACCCCCTGCTACCACTGGAGAAACCCCACCAGGATCACATGGACACTGTCCAACAACCCAGTTTATATGAACATCCTATCTGTGGGACGCCAACTTTTCTGGAGAAAGCCACTAGTCTCTGAGAAGAACATTTCAGCCTTGTTAAATTTTCCTAAAGACCACTTGGATGAACCAGAAGATTACTGAAATAGTGTTATGTGGACAGATAAGGCAAAAATAGATCAAGTCAAGTCAAATAAAAGTTTATTTACAGAGCGCCAATTTCCGGCCTCTGAGTAACTCTAATATGTCCTGTTTGTTTGTTTGTTTTCAGAGCCTGTGTGGTGGAGCCAAAAGGATGGTAAGTATCTCTTTAACTTTTCAGTCCAGGTTTTCAGAGATGAACTGTGTAAATCTGTGCTAACTCATTCATGCCTCGCTGTGTGTGTGTGTGTGTGTGTGTGTTAGATATCCTGCAGGCTCGTAACCACACTGAGAGTCAGCTGGAATGTGGGATTCCGAACTTTGATTATGTCTACAGGATGGAGGAGGAAAACCGACCGATGCGCAGAAAACGGGTGGTGGGAGGACAGAAGGCCTTACCGGTCAGAACACACACACACACACACACTATACACATTCACTGCCTTTTTTAGTATACGGGAGCGAGTCAAGAACACCTGGTTTATGTTCAAGCAACAGAATTTGCATAAAATGACTTTAAAAAAAAAACTTTAAAACAGAATTCCACTTTTTTTTCAGTGTTTGAGGTGTAAACAGAGTCATTCAGAGTGGTCTGGTGTGAAATGGTTGATTGTAGAGTGGTGGTGATAGGAACCAGGGGTCGCCATGACTACAACACAAATATAGATATTTTAGACAGATTATATATATATATATAATTTACTATCCAAAACCACCAGAGAACCTACACAGTTTTCTTTAGGGACTATTTGCCATGCTGTTTGCATGTATCCTTCTACCATTACTAGATTTATTTAGACCAAAACCTTCTCAAAGCTATCAGAAAACAATATCTCAGACATCAGGCAGCAGATTTTGATAGAAAGGTGTAGAATTTACAAAACAGGAAGCAAACTAAGGCGGCACGGTGGCGCAGTGGGTAGCGCTGTTGCCTCACAGCAAGAATGGCCTGGGTTTGATTCCCGGCTGGGTGACCAGGGTCGTTTCTGTGTGGAGTTTGCATGTTCTCCCCGTGTCTGCGTGGGTTTCCTCCGGGTACTCCGGTTTCCTCCCACAGTCCAAAAACATGCAGTCAGGCTGATTGGACGTGCTGAATTGCCCCTAGGTGTGAGTGTGTGTGTGGATGTATATGTCTGTTTCTCTGCCCTGCGATGGACTGGCGACCTGTCCAGGGTGTATCCTGCCTTCCGCCCGATGACAGCTGGGATAGGCTCCAGCACCCCACCGCGACCCAGAAGGATAAGCGGTTTAGATGATGGATGGATGGATGGAAGCAAACTAGATTTTTGTCTTTGTGAGTGAGCAAGCAAGTCAGTGATGTCTAGATATGAAGAAAGCTGCAGATGGTCATTTTATCTCAGCATGGCCTTCTTTGGGGAGAGGTGTGAATTGTTTTTCACAGCAGTGGGTTCTCACCTTTTCATTTTCACTCCTTGTAGCTCACTAGCAGCTCAATATTTCACATGCAGAGAGACAACAGTGCACTAGTTCATCTGAAGCCAGAGTTACGGGGACAAATATTTTTGTTGATTATGTCAATTAAAAACTTTAAATTCTATCTGCTGGCACTTTGGCCACTAGAGTTAATAAAGTTATCATGCAACAAAAATGGTTGCTAACCCGTTAAGATTTGCTGTAGACAAATAGACAGGAAATTATACAGAAATCACATACCAAAAAAAATATTTAACAATTTATCTGATTTTTTTTCTGTATCGTTTAAAACAATATCTTTTGGACAGTAGTGTATAAACTGCAAACAGACATTATAGGCTTAGACTTTATACACTTAGCTTGTATTTTGATCTCTGATGACCTTGAAACCTCTGGTTCCAGTGGCAGTTCCAGTGGCAGGTGGCGGTGAAAGAGAAGGGCAAGTTCCACTGTGGGGGGGTGTACCTGGGGGGCTGCTGGGTTCTGACCGCTGCCCACTGTGTCAGGTAACCAGTCAGTGAGCAGAATTATAAATACGTCATCTGTTCTGTGGTATGACAAAGTCCCTTCGTTACCCTTAAAGCGATAGTTCGGCCTTTTTCCCACTCTTACTCCAAATGTAATCAATCAGCCAAGACATGTTTGGTATCTGATATTTGCTACTTTAGGATTTTTTTTTTACATTACAGCCAATCAGAACAGAGCTTATTTACATATATCAGTCTAAAAGGTACAGAAACAAGACCAGACTGTGTAATTCTAAGGAGAGGTTGGAAAATAGAGGAACACTTCATAATAAGTCCCTATTATTGTTATCTAATCTTTTGTAAATGATAAAAATAAAAATATATAAAACATATAATTACATCACTAATAATAAAATGTAATTACTGTATTAATAAGTTCTACCATTTTGGGACATACAAATAATTGTAAGACTGTAAATGTTTAAATGTAATGTCTTACATTAATGATTATTAATTGCTATTAAAGTTTTATTAACAACATAATAATGGTTAACTATGCATTAAGGAAAGGTTTTGAGTAATAAAAGAGTAGAACAGTGAATAACTACTTATTAATTTAGACATAGACAATAGACTTAAACATTTAAATCATAACTACCATGAATTTTGTTGATGCTCCTCAGTAAATGTGTAATATGTTATGTATATTATCAAATACTGGTTAATAATTCAAATGGTAGCATTTATTAATGCATAGATCTATAATATAAATTTATTAATGATGTTAACAAAACATTAGTTATATTAAGTTGCTGTTCATTAGGGCACGTAATGATAGTTTCACTTAAAAATGGTTGTGTAAAAATGTATTACAACTAAAAGAATGGCTGTCAGAAACACACATTCAAGTGATTACTGAACAACTCTACACAGCTTCATGAGGGTGGGTAATGATTTAGGCATGCAGCTAGCACTGTGGTAATTGGTTGGCTATAATCTTCCATTACAGGTTAGCTAGACTAGCATCATAACTCTAGTCCTACATTTAAGAAGGAAACTTCAGACACCTAACACGCCTTGGCTGATTGACTACTGTTGGCATAAGGAAGGAAAACTGTCTCTTTTTTTTTTGCAGGCCAAAACCTGAGTCATTCCAGATATGGTTCTCTCTGTGGAAGAGGCATTCTCTGCTAAGCACGACAGACGTCGCTGCAGTGAAGAACATCATCATCCATAAAGATTACAACCCGCGCACCTACCAGAACGACATCGCACTGGTGCAGCTGGAGGAGTTAGGGCAGTCGAAAGAGTGTTTACACCCCAACCCTGCAGTTCGGGCCGTGTGTGTGCCGTGGTCCACTCTGCAGTTCGAGGATGGAGACACCTGCACCATCTCCGGCTGGGGAGGAAACAAAGGTACAGTAACAGCAGCGAGGCTTTTAAACGTTCAATCCATTTGTTCTGTTTTTATTCCTTACACCATTTAAAAGACAGCAGCTGCTGTTTACATTGTGAACAAACATCTTACATTTTTAGTATCTCGTGTTTTTCCTTAAAGGAGACGTGTAATTTTTAGTGGTATCTTGCGGTGAGGTTGCAGATTACAACCAGATGAATAGTCCCTCCCTCAATCCTCCCTTTCCAAGCATGTAGTAGGACCTATGGTGGCCGTCAGGTAGACCAGTACAATAAATTACCTGTCCAGAAAAAAAAACAGGCTACTTTGGTGTCACTCTGAAAACATTTGTCTCTTGTTAGGGATTGTCATCTGGGAAAGGCCACACCAGTGTTCTTCCTTATTTTCTGCTATTGCCTGTCCCAATTTAGCTTTGCTTCTTCATGTTTCCGCTTCTTTGATGATGAGGATTCACCCTTCTTTGCATTTTTGTGCTAATATAATATAATATAAAATAATATAATAAGTGTGATGCTCCATTTGTCAAAATTTGGGATCTCAAACTTACAATACAAAATGGCAAGTAAGCATCAGTGTTCTAAAAATGTATCCTACTCATCAAGTGTACCAAGCTTATCATTAGTGTAGCATAGTACCTTGGTTTTAAACGTTTTTATTGTGTTTTTATTCATAATTCAGTACAGACTCAGCTTAATATTACTATTTATCCCCTTATCAAAATATTCTAATTATTCTTTTAATGATGGTAACATTTTCTGATAAGACATTGACTGGCTTCTTGTTCAAATTTTCACATTCCACCTTAAATGGTCCAGCAGTTCATTATAATAATAACTGTGGCACCATTTAAGGTAGAAAGGGAAAATTAAAACAAGTAGCTGGCAAATACGAAGATGACTTTAGCCTCACATTTTTAATGTTAAATGCTGTTTTTCGATAAGGAGATTCAAGCTATCAAAACATCCTACCTAGAGTTTTATGTATGGAGCAACTATAAATATGCACTAGTAGAACATTTCTTTCTATTCTTTCTATGTCTTCCAACCGGTGCTATAGCTAAAAGACCCCCCTACATTTTACACACTGCATCTTTAAGGTCCTCTTATGAAGTCTATTTGGGTTTATCCACTAAAACAATCATAATTCCTTTTTAAATGGCCATTTTCCAACCTTTCTTTATTCTTTGGAATTAAACAGGCTGTTTTTGTTACTCTGCCTTTAAGCCTTCTGTCCCTACATCTTCTGTTGACTTTCTAAGTGAAAACATGTTAAAAAATATAAAAAAGCATAAAATATAAAATGTGCCATTGATTTTGAAGAGACCACTTTTTCCCAATATTTAAATTCAGGAAACAAACAGTAATTGTGCAATAAAGTGTGTGCACATATGTTCACTCCGAGAAATCAACAAAACCTAATTTGACCAGGAGCACCCAAACTTTTGCATATGATTGTACATATAAATGACCTCTGTTCTGGTTGGCCCTGTCTTCAAATGCTTCAAATGAAATTTTAGGCTGAAACTTCAGTGTGAATAGGTGAGGCTGCACTGCTGTAGGTTGAATATGTATATATGTAAATGCATTGGTTTTTGTGACATCACAAAAACACTTTTTGCTGCTTACTTTCCATATATGGACTATATGCACTGGGGGGTGAATTATATATTTTGAAACTTTAACTGTATACATAGTACATCAAACTATTTTATTTAAAAAAAATAAAGAAGAAAATTCGGGTTTCCATCATATGGCTGGACTCGATGTGAGTTTTTATTACAACAGCAACAATGTGTTTTAACAGTTTGTTAAGATTTACTAATTTCACTTCCACTAATTTAGATCCCACAATAGGGATGAAGTAATGCATCATGGAAACTGTTTTGCTATCTCTGTTGTAATGTTGTTGTCATGGTATCTGAGTGATTTGAGGAAGCTGATTATTGTTTTCAAATGTTTCTCTGTTTCTTACAGAAGGAATCAGTACAGATGTTCTGAAATGGGCCAATGTGACAATTATTGGAAACTGCAAGAAGCATTATAATGAGAGGTTCTTGGATGGAATGGAGTGTGCAGGTATGTGTAAGCAGGATCTGTTGTGTGTGTATTTAAGACGCTTCTACTCTTTTTCCATTTGGAGATTGACTGATTATGTCAGTTTATTACCTGTACTGAGCAATAATTCAGTATTATTCACAAGCACTTTGATGGGTCTGTACTCCACATTTCTCTTGAATTTTACTTCTATTACTGAGGTCTACTCATTTAAAGTTTGTGTTTAGTTTATATACCAAAAACAAGCATAATATATTTTACATGACCTTTGTCCAACTTCTTTTTATCTTTTAGAAGTAAACAGGTTTTGTTGCTTGCCAACAGCTAGGGACAGTACAATATTTAATCATTTTCCCAAATGCACTACAATAACTCAGTTACAATTTGCTAAACTGCTATAGGCTGAATGGAAGTAGCTAAAGTGCTGTAGGCTGAATGGACAGAGCTAAACTGATATATGCTGAATGGTCAGGCTAAACTCCTAAAGGCAGAATGGGTGAAACTAAACTGCTGTGGACTGAATAGGTGGAGCTAAAGAGCTGTATTTATGAAATGGGACCTTTAAAGATAATCTGTCTTGCTAGTTTGCAGCAAGCTGTCTTACCAGTGTATTCTGGTAAACATCTTAAAACATACTTTACTTGTCCTACTCATACTACACTGCTCTGAGCTGTTCTCTCACAACAGATATAGTCATATGCAAAAGTTGAAGCACTTCTGGTCAAATTACATTTTGTTGATTTTCTAAGTGAAAAGTGAAAATAAGTTAACACATCCTCTACAGAGAACGCACTTCACAATTAGTGTTTATTTACAACCTCATTTCCGAAATAGTTGGGATGGCATGCAAAATCTAAAAAAAACAGAATGCAAAGATATGCAAATCATTTAAGCCTGTGTTTAATTGAAAGTAGTACAAAGACAACATATCAGATGTTTAACCTAAAAAATTCTATTATTTTTTGAGAAATATATGCCTATTTTAAATTTGATGCCAGCAACACATTTCAAAAAGTTAGGACAACAGAAGACTGGTAAAGTCATGTGGTACAAAAAAAATCACCAGGTGGAACATCTCACAACTAATTAGGTTCATTGGCAACAGGTCAGTAACATGATTCTGTAGTGGAACTTCCAAAAACCACTGTCTGTAAACACAGTTCGTCGATGCATCTTTAAATACAGGTAAAAATCGACCATGCAAAGAATAAACCATATATAAACAGGATCCAGAAATGCCGTCGCCTTCTCTGGGCCCAAGCTCATTTAAGATGAGTGGTGGTCTGATGAATCAAAATTTTAAATTGTTTTTGGAAATCACTGAAGTCGCAACCTCTGGGCTAAAGAGGAGAGGGACCTTCCAAGTTGTTATTAGCACATAGTTCAAAAGCTAGCATCCGTGATGGTATGGGGGTTTGTGCATATGGCATGGGTGGTTTGAGAAGGCACCATTAATGCTGAACGATATACACACACAGGTCTTGGAGCAATATATGCTGCCATTCAGGCGACGTCTTTTGCATGTATTACAGCAGCATGGCTTTGTAGTAAAAGAGTCCAGGTGCTAAACTGACCTGCCTGCAGTCCAGATCTTCCACCCATTGAAAGCATTTGGTGCATTATGAAATGAAAAATATGACAAAAGAGACCTTGAACTGTTGAGCAGCTGCAATCCTATATGAAGCAAGAATGGGAAAACTTTTACGTTCAAAACTACAGCAGTGTCTCCTCAGTTCCCAAATGCTTACAGAGTGTTGTTAAAAGAAGAGGTGATGAAACACAGTGGTAAACATGCCCCCGTCCCAACTTTTTTGAAACGTGTTGCTGACATCAAATCCAAAATGGGCATATATTTTTCAAAAACAATAGCATTTCTTAGTGTCAACATTTGATATGTTGTCTTATTTGTACTATTTTCATGTTGTACTATTTTTAAACTAAATAAAGGGTTAAAATGATTTGCACATCACTGCATTCTGTTTTATCTACATTTTCCACAACCACCCAACTTTTTTTGGAAACAGGGTTGTAGCATATTAGAACAAAAAAGATACAGTGTAGCCTGTGCAAAAATTCTGGCACATTTTGTAATTTAATTTTTTTATTATGTTTTCTATGTATTATATGTTTTATTTGTTTTATGTGTTTTATTGTCCAATATGTTAAACTAGATATATATAAAATACAAACTGTGCACTAAATTTGAAGAAAAGTTGCATGTTTAAGTTTGGAAGTCAACTAATTTGACCAGGAGGTTTACATATGATTGTATGTAAGAAAAACTATATCATCTATGGAACATTTCCTGATATGGCCATGATGTTGACTACAGAGTTCTATTATGCTCTCTCAAACTTGTGTCTACGGATGTTTGTGGCATTACCAGGGATCAAACTCCAGATCTCCTGACGATAATGCCAATGATGGTTGCGCCCCTCTGGGGTCTGGTTTTGTGTCACTTCAAACACAGCAATTGTCCTTTCTTGAATGAGTTAAAATAGTGAAAATAAAAATGTCTCAATTAAAAAAAAGCATGTTTGGTGTATCACCCAGTCTCACCTCTCTCAATCTGTCCTGTCTTTACCTGTTTAGGTAATGTGGACTCATGTCAGGGCAACTCCGGGGTTCCGCTGGTGTGTAAGGACGCCAGCGGGCTGTCGTACGTGTGGGGCATCGTGAGCTGGGGGGAGAAGTGTGGGGAGGCTGGTTACCCTGGCGTTTACACTAAAGTGGCCCACTATTTCGAATGGATCCGCTTCCACACCGGCTGGCCTGCGATCACGAAGTACAACCAGTGAGGAAGAATAGAACTTAGCTCTGCTTTAGGCATACAGGCATACACAGTAAATAGATGGACATGTAGTTTGCTTTAGTAAGTTATGAGGTTATTTACTTCTGTGGGTGCTTGTTTTAGGATGGAATGCTGTTTATTAACTCTGTATAAAGAACTTCCTTTGTTTCCATTAAAATGTTTACAGAACAACTAATGACTGTCTGGTTTTCTTAAAGTGGAATTCCACCAATCTTTCTAAACTTTTGCATAAATAAATAAATAAATAAATAGTGAAATCATTCAGAATGGTTTAATATAAAATTGTCCATTATAGAGAAACTTGCCAAGTCAGAATCATTGACATGTGATAGGAGCCAGCTGTCTACCTCTAAAATCTCCCTCACAAAAAGTTACTATATTTAATAGCATACATCTATGGTGTACAGGTACCCTACCGGGCTCAAGAAGAGCTCTTGACATTCACATTCGAAAAAAGCAGGTGGTCAAATCCACAGAAAATACGAAAATGCTCCAAGCTGGAGGTTCCCATCAGGGACTTAGGAACGACTGCACTGCCAGATGAAAAATCATATTTTATTAAAACAATAATTGAGAAGATTTCAACCCCACTTTTTGAATTGAACTCAGTTGAAAACACATCACCCAGATCAGATAAAACCTCTGGAGAAATAAATGAAACGAAAGACTATTTAAACATTAAAAGCATCACTCAGTGTTACAGTACACTGTTCTGGAAATGGTTCTTCAAAACCTCGCAGATGTTGTCATTTGAATTGATTTAAATCTGTGAAATAGACAATTACACAAGCTAATGGAAAGATCGAAGAAGAAATGCAAAGAGAACAAAGAACACCAGATAAAGAGAGTTGATCAGATAACTATTAAACTATAAAACTATTTAATGATAAGTATTATAGTAGGAGTGAGAAATATGACAATATCTCATTATATTGTGATAAATTAGATCACAATACTTTTTTCTGAGCATATCGTTGATATTGTCAGTACTTAAAGAGCATATTGACCAACTACATTTTACTACAAAGACAGCATAATTAACCCTGTGTAGAGCAGTTTGTAAGATATTGAATCAAATGATTGTATTCATAGTTTCTTTTTTTTTGTCCAACTGAAACAAAAAAGGAGGTAATAAAACACCCCAATGTGATTGTAATAGTATGCTGGTGCAAAGTTAACAGCGATTCACACAAACATTTTAAGCTATTCCAGATTAAACATGGATCTTTAAAGCTTGCAATAGGCATTACCATGTGAATGAGCTTGGATGTATCAGTTTGACAGTGACTCTTTCAATAAAGATCCCTGGCATAGAGCAGCCTTCAGTTCAGCTCTGAACCTAATGAGAGCTTGCACAGCTGTATCTACCTCAATGTCACAGAGAAAACATTGTGTGTTGAGAGTTTCAAGAATGTAACACTTTGGTTTAATATCAAAACTTAAATTTACTATAATACTAATTTAAATGCAAGCATGAGCAGATGCAAATCATTTTAAATATTTATCTGCAACTTAATTTTACTTTATACTTTAACAATTTTTAGCAATACACATTTTACTTTAACAATGTTAGCTGCTAGAATGCTGTATCAACCAAATACTGTATTCCATTGCTGTTGACTGCTATGATCATGCTATATATGCTAGACTATCTGCTAATATGCTAATATGTCATAGTATGTTGCATCCTCCTTTGCACAACTCCACACACTCTCAGTACCGTGTACTGCCTGTGTTCTGTTTTGTATTTATTGTAAGTCTTTTCATTTGTTGTACTGTATTGTCTGCACTATGTATGCTGTATTGTTTTACACTTGTGTTCCTGTGTTGGTCCTGGAGGAATGTAAACATTCCAGCATATTTCAATAAAATATATGCTCTGTGGTTGCCGTGCTTAGCTTCTCTATCTGTTGTTACCCTACGATGCGTCTGTGTTCTGAATTCCCTTAGCCAGGTCGTCTTATGCGGAATGATAACAAATTGTGTAAAAGAGAAAAGTGATTCCAGTTATCCTACATGACTGCCCCTTCTTTTTAGCTAGCTAGAGTAATACTGTGTTCTAAACCACATTGACTTGTCCAGAAGTTTGGATTTCCCACAGATCAGTCGCATGCTGCTTCCTGGCAGCTGACCATCAGAACCAGTGGTAATGACCAGTGGGCAGTGGCCATCACAGCCAGTAATGATGAAGGATACGTTAGCCAGTTCCTGGGTGTTGATGTGATGTGGTGACAACAATGAGTTACACTTGAATGCACATATTGAATCTGTTAGCAGGAACATAGAACATTGCTAAAAACCTCTGACACTCTTTAAGCAGACCCGCTGAGGAGGAAGTGACCTACAGCAGCACTGGAATCATTTCTCTCTTTTGCACAATTTGTTATCATTCTGCATAAGACGACCTGGCAAAGGGAATTCAGAACACAGGCACATTGTAGGGTAACAACAGATAAAGAAGGTAAGCAGGACAACCACAGAGCATATATTTTATTGAAATATACTGGAATGTACACAGTCTATTTACCTGATAAAGAAATAACAGTTTAATGACACTTAAAATAGGAAAACTGCAGAAGAAATATCAGTGAGCAAAGCCTTCCTAAAAAAATCAGTATACACAAGAAATCATCAAGAAACCTTGTCTTATTGTTTACCAACAACAGAGACTGTTTTTTTTTTTTACTTTGAACATGTATTTTATTGCTAGATGTCAGAATGAGAGGACAATTTCTTACTACCTGACTTTAGTATATCATCTCCTAGTTCTCCTGCAATAACACTCAAACACACTCCCAGTAAGACACTGCATTCAAAATCTCCTTAAAACTAGGAATTTAACCTGCTTTATTGTTTCTATATTGGATGCTTTTGTGTAGGCTCTCTTCTCCTCAAGTTTGAGGAAACTGAACCTCAGTAACAATGAACTGCAGGATTCAGGAGTGAAGCTGCTCTGCTGGACTGGGGAAGCCACATTGTAAACTGGTGACAGTGAGATTATCAATTTCTCACTGTGTATGCAGTTTGAAAACACACACACACACACACACACACACACACACACACACATATTTACATGGACAACTTTGATATTCACATATTCAGTCACCTGTTCTGTTTCTGTTGTACACACACTGTTAAACATTCATTCATTGTAGGGCTACAACAGTCACAACATTGAAGTTATGCAATGTCAATCACGTTGTTGTGTGTATGACTATGTAAGTGAGGGTGGATACAGGTTTACATCAGACTATAAGCTATTCTTCCATATATTCAGTAGCTGCCTTAATGTACATTCATTAATTTAAGCTCTGGAAAATCATAGTGAAATTTTGTAACCATCCAATGCAGCATGGCATATTAAGAAACAAAAACAGCTCCTCCAGCTAAATGGAATAGTCTAAGTACATGAAATATATTTCTTTTTTGTCACTTGTAGCTCTAATCCTTTTGAACTATTGCTTATTTAATGAAGTGTTTCCATAGTGTTATTTAAGATACTACTTCAGGCTATAATATGATACTTTTCAGTTGTTTTTTGAGTGCTGTATCTCATACTCATACTCTCATACGGTGAAATTAGACTTTTCAGTCCTTTTCCAAACTAAGCTTTTCAGCTCTTCAGTCCTCTGCTGCTGCTCCTCTCTCTCTCTCTCTCTCTGTTCCCTCTCTGCTCCCTCTCTGCTCTTTTTTTTCCAGAGGGAACAAGAAATCATTGCTCCACCTCCTCGTGACCGCCATCGGGGCCTAGGGGATGGGCGAACGCCACAGTTACATAATACCTTTATTACCTATAAAACCATTTTAGCAGTAGTACTAGTTACATTTACTCAGTTACATGAAACCAAGTAAATTTTTGATGGACTTCTCTGAGAATCAAATATAACACTTTTAACATTTTACTCAATTCCATTTTAGACGTTAACATTTAGAGTCCAATTCTTTTGGGGTTAAATTTCATTGTGTCTGTTTGTGTAGCTCCTAGATTACTTCAGTGTTGCTCACACCTTTCACTTTGGAGCTTTAGCTTTTTATTTTAGACCAAAATGTTCCCAAACAGAAGATTAAAAAGTAAAGTTATATATTTATTTATTTTTTTGGAAAGGTTCTTTAACTACATACATTTCACTGCAGTAACAATACTTTTACTTTAAAGTGGGTTTTCAAAAAATATCAAACCACCTTGGGAGCCACAACATTGTATGTCTCTTTTACCATTTTGACTGTAATTTTGTCTCAGTATTTGCTAAAGTGCTAGTATATGCTAAAAATATAATATAATATAAACAAAAATGCAGACTTACTTTGCTCTGCTTTAAACTTTTCCTCAGTAGTGTCTTGTAAATGTCTCTCAGCGTTTGATTTTTTTTTTAAAGCTGAAGTCGCTTCTCATTCGCCAGTCGCATTCTCATTCGAATTTTCCCATTCCACCTTAAATGGCACAGCAGTTACATTCTGCCACCTCAGACACCAGTTAAGGTGGAATGGGAAAATTCAAATGAGAAGCTAGCTAGGTGAGATTGTTGTTGTTGCTATGGTGATCAGCAGTCTGCATGCTAATCTTCATGGTTAAAGGGTGAATTAGCAATTATACATTAATTCTAGTGTCTAGGACCATTTATTGCTAAAACTGTGTTATAATGATCAGCAGAGCTTTGTTTTACTGAAAACGATGGAGAGGATCAGCAGAGGATTATTTTATTTTTACCTAAAAATCTAATTCTGCTGTGGAGGGCAGTAAAAGAGGATGGAGCTACGGAGCTGCATGTTGCCAACCCCTGGTTTAGGCTATTCACATTTCTGTACTCAATTACTAAATGAGTTACATAAATATGTTTAAATTACATATGTAAATAAATAAATGCAGCATAATTATTGGTGTGTTCCAATCGGGAGGCAGCTGTCTATGTAGGCAGCATTCTAAGGCAACATTTGTGCGCTCCCAAGACAAAGGCTGTCCCATTCGGAAGGCAGCATAAGGCAGCTGCCTTCTAAGGTGCCTTAATTTAACCAAATCTGAAGGCAACATCGCATGTATCCTTCTCAGCGAAGGCAATCCCACAATACCGTTCACCTGCCGAGAGTTCCATCACTTCAATTAGATAAACATGGTGGGTGGAGCAGCCATTTTTTGTTGACTGAGGTGTCTGCAAATGTAAGTTATTTCTTCACTTCTGTCTTTGCTGTTTCGATTGATTGTTGTATTTGTATAAAGTTGTATTTGTGTTTTATAGGTCTCTAGAAATTGTTCCTATGGTGAAATTTTGGCAGTTCGCTTGTGTAACATGTCCTGACAGGCTACGTTTGCAACTTGTCAGGAGAAGCTAACATTAGTTAGTTTAGCTAGTGGGATAGCTGTGTAAAGCGAGAAAGAGTCCAGTTTAAAATATAGGCTGTTTACTGTTAAGTAGCGCTTTTTGTATGTAAATAATAATCGATTTGATTCTATACTCATGGATTTTTTCTGTCATCAGGAACAAACGTTACAGAAGCGGAGAGGTGCTGTTGTGGAAGAGGAGTGGGGAGAAAACAGCGCAGAGTGTATGTTTGGGGGGAAACATGGTGGAACCAGCACTGTAAACTGATGGTCTCCCTAAACCATGAAAAATACTTTAACATACTGGATGATGTAGAAATTCAGAAATAAAATGATTTTAAAATAAATACCACAAACGCTTATTTTTGCCTGCTGTGCTTGTCTTGTATTGCTATGCTTATCACAGTCACATCAGTGTAAGGTGAATGTTGGCGGCTAAATTTCGGACTAGGAGCTAATAAATCAAATGAGAATGCATAAAATAACATGCATATTAGCAGCTTAACAGACTGTGTGCTGTCCTTTTTTCTGAGTGCATTTTGTACAAAAATTATACGTAGTTTTTAACCTTTATGTGTTAGAAATAATGCGGGTTCAGTAAGGTGGATGAGGACAGTGAATTAAATGAAATGATTCACAAACTAGTATGATTATCTATATTTATCTTGGGCGCCGAGTCAAGTATATTAACAGATACGACTCCTTAAAGCGGCCTGTTCTTCATATACAAATTTCCAAGCAGCTGCTGCAGGTTCGAAGCTGTCCTTATTCACTGAGGAGAGTGTAAGCTAACCAGCGACTGTAAAAACCAGCGAGTAAAACAGAAAAAACGTGTACAGCACTGTGAAAGTTATGACGTATGATGGCTCTGAAGTACAGTCCCAAATGCAATGCCTGCTAAGGTTCCTTTTCAGTTAAAATGCTGCCCAATGAGAGAGCTGCCTTTGAAGGCAATTAGGCAGCTCTCTTGTTGGGCAGCATTTTAAATAGTTAGGCAGCTGCCTTCAGAATGGAACACACTATATATGTGATCTAATCATTCTGCCCTGTTTTCTGTCTTACAGCTTCTGAAATCCTAAATGTGTTCTTTTAACCTTTTGTCCAAAATCTGTACTTTGTCCATTATGTCAATTATTTCTATGGATGTCTATAAACATGCAAATGTAAGAAAAGTTTTTTTAAAGTAAACCTATGTGTGTTGATGTAAAATCATACTGTGAAGCATACTGGAACAGCTGAACTAAAATGGATCAGTATGTTTTTTTGTTTTTTTTTCTGTAAATGTGTCTTTAGATAGTACTTGAAGTCTGCCTGTCATTTATTAGCCTTTTTGTTTTTGCAAAATATTTTTACACAGTGTTTCAAATGTGATTTAGATAGAAGTAAATACAGTCTGTGGAAAGTCTTGTCTTTTAGGAACAGAAACTCTTAACACATGACGTTCTATTCCCACTTTTACTTCCTACTCCTACTAAGCCAATGAGAAGTTTAAAAATTGAATCTAAATTTAAAAATGTGAAATGGAACATGATGAAAAAAACTACATACATTTCATGCATCACAAAATAATAATCTAGACGGTTTTGCAAATTGTATAGTTAATGGAAGCCAAAGAGTTTAATTTAATGATTTAAAGGTAAGCATATTCACATATATTTGATAATTCTCATGTTTTTTTTTTGTTTTAAAATGTAATTCAGTTGGTATGTCATATCATTTAATAAAATTTGTGAAATGGAGGGAAAAAGAGTGATATGTATGGTTAAATGCACCTGGACACCTTCATAAAAGCCACAGCCAATGACCTGGTTACACTAAGTTATGAGCTTTTACCCCTGACCATGTTATGACCCGCCATGACCTGTTACCCATGACCTTTTACAAACTGGTCTAGCGTAACAAAAGTGGCAACATAAAAACACAACAAAACAAGAAACTCTGTAAAAATTGTTTATATTTCTTTCAGTAGCTGTTATAAGCATGTTAAACAGCAGGGCTGTAATAGACAGGAAGAAATGGTGGGTTAGTGAGTGATTCCCTAGCTATCTATGAGAAAGTGATGGGAATAAAGAGAGACAACAAATGAAAATGGTCTTACACCCTTCCTGTTTGAGAAGTATAAAAAAAGGTTAGCCTACTTATAGCCATCTCTTTTCTCAGTAGGTGGCAGAGCCCAGAGAAAAGGAGACCAGCGGAGACACAAGAGCTGAGCTGAGCTGAGCTGAGAGAAAGCCAAGCCAAGCAAAGCAAAGAAAAGACTGAAAAGTCCCAGCGAGTGTCGTCTTCCGTTTTGTATATGGACTGAAAAGCTAAGTGATTTTTGAAGCTGTCCATCTCCACACCTGCTCCCGGTGTCCTTACTCCTCCCACCCTTCAAAAAATTGTTACCTGGTTCACTCACATATGTTTCTATACATTTTTGTGGTGTTCTGTGAAGGAATTAACCTGTGAAATTCTCTAAACAAGAGTCCAACAGAACTTTAACTATTTTAACTATTTAAAAAACTGTGATGGCTTCTTATTTTCATTGGCTACACAGACAAGCCCACATTCTCCTTCAGAAAGCAAAGCCCATATCATGAGCATTTTTGCCAAATTGGGTCGGTCATGTTTTTTTTTCAGCATTCTACATTGTGTGACAAACTACTTTTAACTTTTGAAAAGACATTTTATTTTAACTTAGCAGAATTCTATATAAATTCTATAAATATAGATGGTCCAGTGCCTTAGGTTAATTAATAACAACAGAGAGCGTAAGCACTTGACTTGTTAATGAACTGATCGGCTCTCCAACCAAACAGAACTGAGCAGCAATGCTAGTGTACTACTGCCCTGTAGAAATATGGAAATATGGAAAGACACTGGTAATGTTCATTCTTCATGCAAGATGTAATACATCTAATTACGTTCCTCAAATTTAAGCAAGTTCCTGATTAAAAATGTATTTTCAGACTGTTTAAAGACTATTCATGTGCATTCATCAAGAACTTAATTGTCCACATACAGTATTTTGCAGCTTTTTTTGTATAATGGCATAAATAGGAAGTGGCTAGGCTCTCCTGAAACTGGCTCTGAAATTTAGCTCTAAGTACTTTCTCAATACAGGAAGTGCTGAACTTCCTCCTGCAAACTAATCCAGTCCAAACCGGTTTAAAGGGCAGTCTTCAACAGCTTCTGTTTGGTGACCATCATGAATAATCTTTACAGAAAAAAAACAAAGATAATTACTGAAGTCAGAACAGCCTGAATTTACTTTCTGGCTTGATGACCAAGGGCTTTTCTGTTAAAAGATGGAAGTTCAGACTCCAGATCACGGAGCTCCTGTCCAGACCAACATCATAGCTCAGACAGGAGGAACCACCTGTGCTCCTGTGATTGACGGAAACACTGTTCAGGGGTCGCTGACAGTTATAAACAACATATATGGAGGTGAGTGATAAAGTCTTAAAAGTCTGAGTTTTAAAGTTAAGTACTCTGTTGGCATTAAAGTTTAGCATGACCAATATTTCACAGAGATGGGTTTGAATTATATGAGTCAGTCATCATAGACTGCCTTTCAACCCTCACAATATTAACACATTTTGTTCTTCCTTTTATATCTTATCATAAATAGCAGACAGTATTTATTTAGCTAATAGCAGTAGCTAGAAACTGAGCTCCCACACATCTTTTCAGATAATTATGGGCCAATATTCAGAGAATAAATCATAACATATGTCCACCTTCTCATTGCAATATTAAGTGTTCATTGCAATATTAAGCTAAAAAAATACATTTTCTAAAAGGTATGATGTCCATTTCTTTAACAGAGTTATTTTTTTTTAATGTCATGAATAAATAACATTTTATGTAAACTTTCTATTTTTTAAAGCAACACATGCAATGAAACATTTATTTAACCTTTTGGTACATTTTTGGTACAAACTGGTACATATCACTGTAGGGTGCCTTTTGGTGTGCTGTACATGAATAATTAATTTGTCTCGTCAACAAAGGGTTTGTTATACTAGGTTTTTATATAGTTTTCATGTAGTCATAAAATCATTGCCTTTTTCAGTGCCATTATTTAGACTCTTTTTCAAGTAATCTTATTTTTTTTTTTAGGTCAAGCCAGGTCAAGCCAAAAAGACTTAACAATAACAAACTATGGGTAGTCTTTCTGAACTTTGTTGGAAACACATGAACTAGGATGCTTTATAATATTATAACACAGTCATCTAATTCTAAAATGCATATCACTGTTGTCAGAACAAAACGTTATACTTTTCAAATGGTAAATTTACAGGAGAAGGGAAAAACATACTTTACTTTTAATGTAATTGTAACCAGACTTTTTTCCTAGTACTTTTGGGCCGTTTCTTTTGGTCCATCATGAAATTTACACACAGTGTAAAGATCAACAGGCATTTTTAATTTATGTCCAAAACAAAATTGGAGATATGAGGTTTTGTTCTGACAGCAGCGATATAGTAGCGTTTAGTGAAAAAAACGTAATTTTTCATTATCCAATTACCACACTAAAAAGATTTGCTGTTTTATCTCTTTAAAGTAAGTAACTGGGTTCACTACAGAAGTTAAAAGAACACTAAGCTGCTCAAGGTAAAACACTGAATTCTTTTTTGCACTGCACTGCTATTATAATGTCTGTTAAACTACTTTCTTTCAAAATATATGTTTGTAGTAGTTTTAGCTCAGGTGCCCTATATTGTATATTTTTGAGCATACTATAGCTCTAGTTGCATTGCTTGCACTGTGTTCTTGTTTTTCCTCTTGGTTTTCACTCAGTGCATGAATGTGCAGCTCAGTAAAGCACTTGAGCTTGGAGGTTATATCCTGACTGCCATGCATTTATTTGAATGGAGTTTGACACAAGGAAACAGTATAGTATAAACTGTGTGAGTTTAGACATGTATACTCATGAGCAGTAATAAAATTGACAATTTCACACATCAAGGCTCAGATCCCCAAGAAAAATGAGTGACTTTAAGAGGAAAACAAAACATTTTGAAAAACTGAGACTAAAAGCTCTGACAGTAAAATGGTAAAATTGTCCAGTTTATTGTGTTGAACAAAGATGCAAATGCAATATAGTTTAAAATTTTACTGCAGTCCTGGTTTTTGCCTTATTTGTTAATCTGTTGCTTGCCATTGCAAAGGATCAGACATCTTCTGAGCCCCTCATCAACAATAATTATAAATAGAAGTCATTCTAAAACCTTTTTTACCCATCATTCAAAAACTACTGAACAAAGATGTCATGCAACAAAATACATTACACATCATAGCCATGTTTGTTATGTACTGTAAATTGTTAACAAAAAGCAGTGCTCAACTAGTGTACAACTAATTCTTATAATGGGTTTTCACTATGCCTTAATAATAATATATTATTAATATATCCATGTAGTATTATATGAACACTTCATAATGTACAATAAACACAGCTATAAAATACAATGCATTTTTATAAATATTTGTATCTATATTTATAAGGCCTTAGGATTGCATTATAATGTATTATGAAAATATATATATATTTTTTTATACATGTGGTATTCATAGATGGTTCTGATTTTCTTTTATCTCCCCACCAGCTCAGGAAGCTCCCACTTCCAGCAGCAGCTCAGTTCAGGCTGGATGCTCTCCTGGTGCTTCTGCTTTAACTGAAGGTAAGTCTGAAGGTCTTTATGTACATGTCACTGCTTATTTATTATAAATTCACTTCTATGTTTAGTATATAGTTTACAACTGTCTTTTGAGCACAATTCCCACTGCACTGAGCTTAAACTACAGCAAAAGTGAATGCATGTGATTGAATGAGAAGTCTACCAGACATTTCAATATAGAGTACTGATAAATAAGCTCACTGGACAAAAAATTAGTCACCTGTGACTTAAACTCAACTAATAGCATGTAATACCTCCTTTGGACTGGACAAGTTTCTGGATGTAGGCGACATCAATGTTCAGCCATTCTTGCATCAAAGAATTGTGCTGTTCGGCCAGATTTCATGAATGCCTTCCCTGGCGTCTTACTCATTGTGCCAGGTAGTCCCACAGATTTTCAAGAGGATTCAAATCTGGGAATTTTGTGGGCCAGTCCAGATGTGCAAATGCTCCTCAATGTTCATCATATCACTCAGTGACATTTGCAGCCCTCTGAAGATGATGAAGTAAAACATGGTTGTCCAGCAGCTCAATATAGGCATTCCAGTCATAAATGGTGTCTCTTTGCCCACTGTAACTGGGCAACTTTGTGAGCAGAAGTGAGAAAAGGCCTCTTGCATACCAATCTGCTCCATAAGTTCATGGTATGCAGTTCCTTGCTGAGTGTTCAGAAATTGGTTGTGAAGGACCTGTGTTGACTTCTAGAAGCAATTCTTGCCTGGAAGCAAAGCAATTTTTATTCACAAGCCACGAAACACGCTGGTCCCTGTCCATCAGTTGTGGCTCTTGGCCACAATTCTGATAAGATCAAGAATTAAAAAGACTTTTTTGTCTGGGAAGCTTATTTTTTATCAGTCCATGATAACTAAAAGGGCCTACTAAGAGCTCCAAGAATTCACCTCTGATTTCACAGCTGTAGCATATTTTCCACAATATTAAAATTCAAGGTCTATTTATAGCACTTACCTGTACAGAAACTCTTTTTTTTAGGTTGAGCAATCCATTCTTTCAAGTTTTTTTGAAACTTCATGGAACAAACCTTAATTTATTTCTGTTACATTTGACACAATTATTTTTTATTATGCTGACTTTAATATATTGGGAAAAAAGTGCATAAGATTGGATAGTACTTAGTAAGAATCCTTTTGGCTGAAATCACAGCCTCCAAAAGTTTCTTGTCGGCAGCAACAGTCTTACAATTCTTGATTTGGGAATTTTTTTCCCACTTTTCCTTGAACAATGCTTCCTTGCACAATGATTCTTAGTAGTTCAACGTTGATTTTTGTTTTATTTTCTGTATCACTGCCTGCCACGCAACCCTAAAGTATAATAGGTCCACCGCCATGCTTGGCAACAGTTGGCAAGGTATTCTTCCCTTTTTATTAACCCAAACATTTGGTGATTATGATAAAATAATTAAAACTTTCTTTCATCAGAGCACTTGATTCCAAAATTCCTGCATTGCACACTTCAGATGGTGACTTTTGTTGCAAGATCATAGTTAAGATTACCTTCAGATGACTTTTCCTTAAGTAAATGATGTTTATGCAAGAACACTGCACAGTGGGCCAGGAAAGGGTCACAGAATTTATCAAGATCTGGGATTGTCAACACCTGACTTGGATTATTGCCTAAGGATTCGAATAATCACAAAGGCACTAAAATCACTGAATTAATATACACATGTCCAAACTAAACACTAAAATATTTTTTCTGTTTCTGTGTCTGCTTATCAGAATACATAACCATGTCTAAACAAACACACAAATCTGAACTAGAGAAGACATATAGGAGTATAAATGAAGGAGTGTCACAAGATGGAAACTCAACACTCCTGAATAAGATTTACACAGAGCTCTACATTACAGAGGGTGGGAGTGGAGAAGTCAATAATGAACATGAGGTGAGACAGATAGAAACATCCAGCAGATGGCCAAAACAAGAGACAACAATCAACTGCAATGACATCTTCAAACTCATACCTGGAAAAGACAAACCAATCAGAACTGTGCTGACAAGAGGAATAGCTGGAATTGGAAAAACAGTCTCTGTACAGAAGTTCATTCTGGACTGGACTGAAGGAAAAGCAAATCAGAATGTTGCCTTTGTATTTCCACTTCCTTTTAGGGAGCTGAATTTGATAAAGGAAAAAAAGCTCAGCCTGATGGATCTTCTTCATCTCTTTTTTCCACAAATCAAACAATTTCGATTAATAGACTTAATAAACTGTGCTGACTACACAGTCATTTTCATCTTTGATGGTCTGGACGAGTGTCGACTTCCACTAGATTTTGAGAAAAATGAGATTTTATCTGATGTAACAGAATCAGCCTCAGTAGATGTGCTGCTGACAAACCTTATAAGGGGAAAGTTGCTTAGCTCTTCTCTTCTCTGGATAACAACTCGACCAGCAGCGGTTAATCAGACCCTTCTTCAGCATATTAATCAGGTAACGGAGATACGAGGGTTCAGTGACCCTCAGAAAGAGGAATACTTCAGGAAAAGAATCAGTGATCAGAGCCTTGCTGAAAAGATCATATCTCACATAAAGTCATCAAGAAGCCTCTACATCATGTGCCACATACCAGTCTTCTGTTGGATTTCAGCCACTGTTTTAGAGGACATGTTGAGAGAAGCAGAGAGTGGAGAGATCCCCAAGACTCTGACTCAAATGTTCACATATTTCCTGAACTTCCAGATCAAACACAGCAGCCAAAAATACAGAGGAACAAGTGACATTGATCCTCATGAGACTAAAAAGATGATTCTGGCACTGGGAAAACTGGCTTTCCAACAGTTAGAAAGTGGCAACATAATCTTCTATGAGGAAGACCTAAGAGAGTGTGACATTGATGTCAGAGAAGTGTCAGTGAACTCAGGAGTCTGCACTCAGATCTTCAAAAAGGAGTTTGAGATGTGCCTGGGTAAGGTGTTCAGCTTTGTTCATTTGAGTGTTCAGGAGTTTCTTGCTGCTTTATATGCTTTTCTTGCTTTCATCTATGCACACAAAAATGTGCTAGAAAAAACTACTGGATTTTTTGATTTCTTTAAAAAGTTACAAATGTTTGACTTCCTCAAGTGTGCAGTGGACAAGGCTTTAAAGAGTGAGAATGGACACCTGGACCTTTTCCTCCGCTTCCTTCTGGGCCTCTCACTAGAGTCCAATCAGACTCTCTTACGAAGGATACTTCCACAAACAAGAAAGGGCTCACACAGACGAGAGCAAATAGTTTGGTACATCAAAAAGCAGATCAAGGACAATACCTCTTCTGAGAAATCCATCAATCTGTTCCACTGTCTGAACGAACTGAATGATCATTCTCTAGTGCAGGAAGTAAAAATGTGCTTGAGCAAAAGAGGTGTGAGTTGTTTCAATGGAGCTAAGCTCTCTCCTGCTCACTGGTCAGCTCTGGTGTTTGTGTTACTAAACTCAGAAGAGGACCTGGAGGATTTTGACTTGAGCAAATATGAACCATCAGAGGAGTGTCTTCTGAGACTGCTGCCAGTCATCAAAGCATCCAGAAAAGCAGTGTGAGTATTATCATTAAGAAATGTTTCACTATTTGTAAAGACTGTAAAGTTCATGCTAGTACAACATGCTTGCTGTGAAAGTGTATGGTCCTCTAAAGGCTCTATCGAAAGTGCATGCAGGTCCATGCGTCTGTGTTTTACAACAGTATGCTAATTTAGCCAGCAAAATGGGACATCTGGATACACAGTCACCAAACTTATTTGAAACCTTCGGAATTAACTGGATTTCTGCACTGATTACTAATAAACTGTGGTTTGGTCATCACAAAAAGTATGTAGACTGTGTTAGCAATTTCTTAAAGAGCTAATTGGCAAAAGGTGTTTCTATTAAGAAGATGAGATTGGTAGACAGGTGGTTTGCCCATTTAATAAAGAGAGTACACAAAGCCTGGTTACTGACAAATGTGTTCTTCTCAAGAAAGATTACTGTGAACCGCACCTTGATGTAAACAACTTCAGGACCGTTACTACTGTCCCTAAGAGAGGGTGTCAAATTAAGATCACTCCAAGAGCACCACAGGAAATCCTGAAAGCGGTGAAAAAGAACCCAAGGGTAACAGCAAAAGACCAACAAAAGACTATACAAACTGCACAAACCATTGTTAATGTGTTCACAATTAGAAAAACACTGAACAAGACTGGTGTTCATGGAAGGACACTACAAAGGATATTCAATGGTGTTTCTGGGAAAATGTTCCATGGATAAATGAGACAAAAATGAAATGTTTTAGCATGAATGCACAAAACTATGTTTGGAGAAAAAGAACACACAAATACTATAACATCATCCCAATTGTGGAGGGATGCATGGTGGAGGGAGCTTCAAGTTTTGGGCTAGATTGCTGTCTCAGGGCCTGGACACCCTGCAGTCATTCAGGACATAGTGAATTAAAAGGTGTATCAAAACATTTTACAGGATAATGTAAAGACATCAGTCTGTGACCTCAAGCTGAAGAAATCTTGGGTGATGCAACAGGACAATGACCAAAATCATACAAGTAAATCAAATAAAGAAGGGTTGAAAATGAAGATTTATGTTTTGGAATGACCAAGACAGAGTCCTGACAACGTTTGTCCATAATTGTGACATAGATAACAACCAGATCACATTTTATTACTAATCATTGCAGAAACCCAAGGAAATTCCAAAGTGTTCACTTACATTTTCTTGCAACTTTAGAGCAAATGAACAGCGTTGTTATCTTTGCTGCCAGGTGCTAACTAGCTAATAACAATTGGCCATCTGCCGATTTGGCTGCAAAAACTGAAATCTGAAAAAAGCAGAATCTGACTGAATCATAAAAACAATCATGCCAGTACTAAAACGTAATACATATCTGATATGTCATATCAGAACTAAAAAAAAATCTGTCAATCAAACTTAACATTCATCATAATTCCACACTGCCTGGTATTAATTTTAAGGAAAAATGAAGGACAACTGTGATTGCTAGTGTTGCTTCAATTTTGTTTGCTTATTTCTCTATGAATCCAAGTGTTCTGTTCCTGATCTGAAACAATGTTTTTAAAACACATTTCTCTTCCAGGCTGTGTGGTTGTAATCTCACAGAGAAAATCTGTGAAGATCTGGCCTCAGCTCTCAGCTCAAACTTCTCATGTCTGAGGGAACTCGACCTGAGTTACAATAACTTGTACAATTCAGGAGCCCAGCAGCTCTCTGCAGGACTGAAGAATCCAAACTGTAAACTGGAAACACTTAAGTATGCAAAACACACACAGACACACACACACACAAGTATGTGTGTGTGTGTGTGTATATATATATATATATATATATATATATATATATATATATATATATATTATACATATAGAAATATATATTGCTGTTGTTGGAAGAAAACCTTGAATCTCCAAAATATTAACTTTACAAGAGAAGGAAAAAAACTATTTTACTTTTAATCTAAATCAATGGAACCCAACTTTTTTCCAAATCATTTTGTATGATTATTTTCTCTCTCACTCTCTTTTTCTCTCATATATATATATATATATATATATATATATATATATATGTGTGTGTGTGTGTGTGTGTGTGTGTGTGTGTGTGTGTATGTGTGTGTATGACAAGCCAAACAGATGTAACCTATTTAACTGAGGACATTTTTCATTAGCTTTTTTAACCCAAAATATTTTGAAACTGTCTGTAAGCTATGTAAATAATGACTTTCCATTTCAAAATAAATGTCCATTCACTATATATATATATATATATATATATATATATATGTACATATATGTGTGTATGCATGTATGTATATATAGTGTGTGTGTGTGTGTGTGTGTAAGAATGAGAAGTTTTTTTTCTTCTCTCTTCAGGCTGTCCGGCTGCAGTATTACAGATAATGGCTGTGCTGATCTGCTTAAAGCTCTGAAATCAAACCCATCATACCTGAGAGAACTGAATCTGAACTACAATAAACCAGGAGGATCAGGAATAAAGGAGCTCTCTGATCTACTGAAGGATCCACACTGTAAACTGGAGAAACTACAGTGAGTTACTGGCTTACTCTTACTCAATACACAGACACAGACCAAACATACTATCAGGATGATCTGAATAACCTCAGCTCTTTTACTGACAGTAGTGTGTGTGTGTGTGTGTGTGTGTGAAAGAGACAGAGAGAAAAAGGGTACACAAGTACATATGTGAGTATAAGAGTGTGTAGGGGAGACAATGTTATATATTTTCTACTTATTTAATATCACTACAAACACACAAAAGGACATGAAACGAAAAAGTTGGAACTTATCTATGCTGTGAGATTAAAGTTTGTTTGTGTTGAGTTGTAAGTGTGAGAAGCTTTTCTTATCTGTGCAGGCTGGAATATTGCAAAATTACAATGGAAGACTGTGCTGCTCTAGTTAAAGCTCTGAAATTAAACCCATCATACCTAAGAGAACTGAATCTGAACTACAATAAACCAGGAGATTCAGGCATGAAGGAGCTCTCTGATCTACTGAAGGATCCACACTGTAAACTGGAGAAACTACAGTAATTTGCTGACTTACTATCTCATTATACACACAAAGACCAAAGATGTTATTAGAATTACCTGAATAAACTCAGCTCTTTTACTTGGAGCTTTACTTCTCTCTGCAGGCTGGCATATTGCAATATTACAGAGGAAGGCTGTTCTGCTCTAGTAAAAGCTCTGAAAGTAAACCTGTCACCACTAAGAGAGCTGAATCTGAATGACAGTGAACCAGGAGAGTCAGGAGTGAAGGAGCTCTGTGATCTACTGGAGAATCCAAATGGGAAACTAGAGAAACTACAGTGAGTTACTCATGTTGCATCTGGTAACCCTTAGTTCTTTTACTTTCAGTAGTGTGTGTGCGTGTGTTTGTGTGTATGTGTGTGCAAGAGAGAGAGATGGAGGATGGTATGCAATATTGGTTGCACTGACTAGTGGACTAGTCAACAAAAATCCCCTGGCCATGACTGTGGGCAGCCATAGAGCTGTAGAGTGCTTTATGTGGAAATATTTTTAAATGAAAAAAATCACTGTCAGCTGCACGTTGTTTAAACTACTCTGTAAGATACATCACACATCTCCAGAGAGTTAATTTGGATGTGCAAGAGGAAAGGGCAATTTGACTGACATGCAAAATGACCAACCCACAGAACATACCTATGAAGAAAGATACATGCCATTACAAATTTCCATGCAAAAACTGAATTTGGACTTTTAAATTTATTAAAATTTATTAAATTTACTATTTTAAACCTGCATCTGAAATTTAATTTTGAACTGAAATTGAATTTTAAGTATTATAAGAAAGTGATACAAAATCTGAAACTGAATTTTTGGAGTTGATGATATATAGCTGAACAGATGAAATTCAATTTGTAAAAATCATTAAGTTTTTCTAAAATTTGAATAGAAATGGTGTCTTACAGGCAATAGCCGTCAACCACAAAAAATATAAATAATTAAATGCCCATATCATTAAAAATCATTCCAAATTTTGGTGAACGGCATAGAGCAAGGGACATCCTGAATATAAGTTTATTAAATAACAAATCATTGATAACAACATAAGGTTGATTTTATTTTTTAAACTAAAAGCTGACAATAGGGGGCAGGAATATGCATCAATTGATCTGGATAACTGAAGTGCAAGACATGTATTCTTGGCCACAACATTTTCAGAAACAACAATTCCAATTAGTAAGCACCATGTTGAGCTTCAAAGGGGAGCACGTAGTGATGAAGCTACCGGAGGCCTGATGCCAAACTCAGCCAGAGCCCACAAATGAAAAAGCCAGCAGTGCTCAAAGCCAGCAGAGACAACACCATCAGGCAACAAGAAAACATTGCAAAGAACTGCACCCAGCAGCTTGCAAAACAAGGGTGACTGAGAGGATACTTCTGTGGGGAAGAATCAACTCTACCAATGATCCATGTTGTACTGGGTGGAGGAGTGCAGTGTCCCTCCCCCACACACAGATTAGCCAAAGAAAAGAACAGCCAGCAGCAGTTGATAGGGCAATAAGCCACTGATCTTAGGGGTCTTCATGCAATGCTGCTTTCATTCAGCCAGGAAAATGTTTGCCCTTTCGCTCTTTGAGCTCTTTCTGCCCCTAGGAGCAATGTGTGCCTGGCAGCATGCTGACTCAAGCCCCACCTAGCAAAGAGGAAAATAAAATGACAGTCTTGCAGGAAATCTGCTGGTGACATGGACGAACAGTAGTAAGAAATGGTGTAGTAGATTTTGATGGAATTTCAGGACTGAGATGTGCTGGTGACATGGACGAACAGTAGTGACAAATGTTGTAGTAGATTCAGGTGGAATTTCAGGACTGAAATGTGCTGGTGACATGGACGAACAGTAGTGAGAAATGTAGTAGATTCAGGTGGAATTTCAAAACTGCTTTGCGAGGAGCTGGGACAGACTCACCTGCGACACCTCCCCCTGGACTGACAGGAGGCTGCAGACCAAACCATGGAAAAATGCAGCACTCAATAATTATATAGCCACCAGAGAGCCCCTTGGCATTATAAGTAGTCATGGTTCCAAAGAAAGAACGCGAGTAATGCTAATGTGTAGATTATAGAAGGCTCAATGATGTCACCAAGAAAGACTTGTACCCCATTCCACATGTGGATAAAAGGATCCAGTGGCTGGATCCACTTGGTTTTCATCCTGAGACTTAAAAAGTGGGTACTGGCAGATCGCTTTGTTCCCAGAAGCTAAACCCAAAACAATGTTCTGCACAGTTAGAGGGCTATGGCATTTCAAGATTCTTGCTTTTGGGCTCTTTGCTTTTTTTTCTGGTGTTACTGTGTGTGTCACTAAGCTCTCGTTGGGTTTCCCAGTGAGCTGCACCACAGTATGTTGAGCTGTAAGTCTGAGAACCTTTTCTTCTCCCTGCAGACTGTCTGGCTGCAGCATTACAGGTGAAGGCTGTGCTGGTCTTATTAAAGCTCTGAAATCAAAACACTCACACCTGAATGAGTTGAACCTGAACCACAATAAACTAGGAGATTCAGGAGTGAAGGAGCTCTCTGATCTACTAGAGGATCCACACTGTAAACTGGAGAAACTACAGTGAGTTACTCATATTACAACTGGAAACACTGCATTTTTACTTTCAGTATCGTGTGTTTGTGTGTAGATGTGTGTGTGTGTGTGTGTGTGTGTGTGTGTGTGTGTGTGTGTGTGAGAGAGAGATAGAGTATGTATGTGATATGGTTGTGCTGACAAGTGGACTAGTCAACTAATATCTACTGGCCATCACTGTGGGCACTTGTAGAGTTTAAGTGCTTAATGTGGAAACATTTTCAAATAAAACATATTTCACCATTCACTGCAAGTTATGTAAGACTACTCTGAATGATCACAGAATGGCAGAGAGTGAGGTACATTTTGATGTGCAAGAACCTCTTACTTTGCCAGGAAAGAGCCATCTGATTGATATAAAAAAAAATGACCAACCACAGAATGTACATATGGAGTTACATTCATGCCCCTAGAAATTCAAATGCAAAAATGTAAATTTGAATGTTAATATTTTGAATCTGCATCATAGCATCTGAAATTGAATTCTGAACTGAAATTAAATTTTAAGCTTTGCAAGCAATATAAAATGTGAAACCGAATTTTATAGTTGATTTACAACTGAACACCTGAAATTAAATTTCTAAAAAGCATTTTTCTATTAATTCACATTTTAGATTCACTGTCACTAAAACATCCAGGTGTTTTGCAGGCAACAGCATTTGAACATGACAATGTAAATAATAAATCCCTATTTCATTAAAAAAAGGGTCCTTGCAAATTTTGCAGTGCTGTATACAGTAAATTAAATTTTGCTTTAATGAATGTAAATTCACTAAATAACAAATCATCAACAACAGAACATTAGCTTTATTTTAAATGTTTTACTAAAACGTGAGAGAACATGGAACAGCAGCTTGAGACTGAAAACTACAGATTTATTCACACTGTGATACAGGGTAGGCTTGGAGGAGGAGAGACATGCATGTATCACAGCGATTTCAAGTATTTTTGGCCATTTTTCATCTTTTGAGTATGTTGTGGTCAGTCTTGTGTTTGACACATCAGTGACTTAGCAGCACTTTATAGACCTCCAAATCCAAGTTTCTTAGGAGAATTTCGAAACTACTACCAACTGTATGATTATTTTCATTAGCAGATTATGACATCTGACTTTGTTGCATTATTAATTATAGGTCTGTCAGAGTGACATAATGCTGCTGCTGTGATATTGCTTACCAAGTGATGCTGGTTTGAACAAAAGTGAGCACTTCAAAAGTATGTTACACTCCATCCACTGTTTTGATTAGTTAAATTCCATTAGCTCACCTCATTTAATTCAGTGATGAATTGTTTAGACACACTAGGATTTGGATGGTAACTGTAAACCCTGGGTTTAGAGGAGAAACTTAGAGGAGCTGAGGTTAAGGTCCATAACTCAGCTTTAATGCCATTACTCACAGAATGCAGCCATCTAGGCCCCCGAAGCGTGTGCTAGCATGCAAATGAAAAAAATAAGTGTCACAAAGGGCTCAAATTTCAAAGATGAAAAATGCACCTAGTGAAGCCAGTGTGGACTGAAACACTGCTAAAAATATAATCATATCTCTTGTTAGACAGATAACTAAAATGCTTCAGAGACATTTTTGGTGTTACTATCCTTTGATCTATATTGTGCTATGTGTTTGTGTGTATTGTGTGTGTGTTGAGCTGTAAGTGTGAGGAGTTTTTCTTCTCTCTGCAGACTGTCTGACTGCAGGATTACTGGTGACAGCTTTGCTGATCTAGTGAAATCTCTAAAATCAAACTGCTCACACCTGAAAGAACTGAGTCTGAACTCGAATGATCCAGGAGATTCAGGTGTGAAGGAGCTTTCTGATCTACTGGAGGATCCACACTGTCAACTGGAGATATTACAGTGAGTTACACATATTACATCCGGAAGCTTACAGCTCTTTTACTTTCAGTACTGTGTGTGTTTGTGTGTACATGTAAGAAAGAAAGAGATAGAGAGAGAGGGAGTATGCACGTGATAGGGGTTGCACTGAGTAGTGGACTAATTAACTAATATCCACTGGCCATCACTTTGGGCAGCTGTAGAGTCTAAAGTGCTTAATGTGGAAACATTTTGAAATGAAACAAATGTCACTGTCAGCTGCAAATTGTGTCAGACTACACTGAAAAACAGATCACATATCTCCAGAGAGTTAGGTATATTTAGATGTGCAAGAACTGCCTACTTTTACAGGAAAGGGCCATTTGACTGACATACAAAATCAACAACCATCAGAACATATCTATGAAGATAGATACAAGCCATTAGAAATTTGAATTGAATGCAGCTATCTGGAATCTGCATCAGTCCATCTGAAACTGAAGTCTGAAACTGTAAGAAAGCAGCATAAGTCTGAAATTGAATTTTATAGTTGATGAATACTGAATGTATTCAGTTTTTCTACTATTTCACATTTCCAAATTCACTTTCAAACCCCAAAATATAAATAAGTAAATCCTTGTATCATTAAAATATTTAGTCCTTCCAAACTACAGATTCATGCACAATGTGAGACAGGGCAGGCTTGGAGAAGGAGTGACATGCTTTTATAATAGTGATTTCTAGCAAAGGGCTTTTGGTAGTTTTTCATTTTTTGAATAAGCTGTGTTCAGTCTTGTGTTTGACACTTATAGACTTATGCACTCATAGACATCCAAATAATAATGCTAGTTTCTCAGAATTTACCAAACTGCTATCAACTGTATGATGATATTATTTTCACAAGACACAGCACATTATGATATCTGACTTTGTTGATCCATTAATCAGAATGACATAATACTGATGATGTGACATTGCTTACCAAGTGATGCTGGTTGCAAAATTTAACAAAAGTGAGCACTTGAACAGTTTGCTCTGTATTAATCAGTATTACTATATTAAACCAATTTTACAATAACTTAAAAAGTGACGCAAGTCACTCTGTTGTGTACTGCAACAAAATTATAATCACATGCTTTGCCACTGTTGGTGTCAGGTAAAAAACAGCTGCCTCCATACACTGAGGCAATGCAAACAAGAACAAAATATTTTACGGGTATAGATTAATTGTTAATGTATGTAATAATACTTTACATAGTAACTGTGTGATTTCAATGTGTGCAAATGAAACCATATATATATAATATTATTTTAAAAATAATAATATATTTTTTTAAATAATTTTTAAAAATAATATTATTATAAAAATGTTAATCTAATGAAGTCATTGCTGACTAAGATTGATAAATATGGAACCATATTTTTCCATTAGATGGATGACTAAAAATGGCTCAGATATTTTTTGGTGTGATCATGCCTTTGTTCTGTATTGTGTTGTATGTGTGTGTGTGTGTGTGTGTGTGTGTGTGTGTTTGTGTTGAACTGTAGGTGTAAGGAGTTTTTTTTTTCTTCTCTCTGCAGGCTGTGTGACTGCTGTATTACAGATAAAGGCTGTGCTGATCTGCTTAAAGCTCTGAAATCAAACCACTCATCACACTTGAGAGAGCTGAATCTGAGTGGCAATGATCCAGGAGATTCAGCATTGAAGGGGCTCTTTGATCTCCTGAAGTATCCACACTTCAATCTAGAGAAACTGCAGTGAGATATTTATATTACATCTGGAAGCTCTCTGCTTTTGCTTTAAATACATTGTGTGTCTGTGTGTGCATGTGTGAAATACAGAGAGGAGTATGCATATGAATGGTGTTTAGGGGTTGCACTGTCTAGTGGACTAGTCGACTAATGTCCACTGGCCATCACCATGGGCAGCTGTAGAGAAAAGTAAAATAAACAAAAAAAGAAATTTCACTGTCAGCTGTAAGCTGTGTAAAACTACTCTGAAAGGTAGATCACAAATCTTCAGATTTAGATATAATTTGATGTGCCAGAACCACAGGAAACAGGAAATGGCCATTCACTTGACATACAGAATGACCAACCACAGAAAGTACCTATGAACCTGAAAATTGAATTCTGAACTGAAATTGAATTTTACATTTTGCAAAAAAAAACTGAAACTGAACTTGATGGTTGATGACGTACAACTGAATGTCTGAAAATTTGAGAAAGCATTCAGTTTTTCTGTTAATTCATATGTTCAGATTAACTTTCAAAATAGCATCCAGGTGTCATGCAGGGAAATAATTAATAATTAAATCCCTATATCATTAAAATACTGTGGCAGCTGCCATATGCCCTATTCTTGGGGAAAGAGACTTTAAGGGTGCGTGCAAAGTTTGCATTGCAACCCCACCCCCAAGCAAAATGGATTGTTTTTTGTTATTATTTTGCTGTTACTGTTGTTGCCGTTGTCACTGTTGTTGTTGGGTTTGAGTGGCATGTATGTGTTGTTTATATGGTTTTGGGCTGTGGTGTGATGTGGCGGGGGGCGGGGGGGTTTTGAAGTGTACAAACCATTAGGGGAAATTATATGGCCAGGGACGATGTGCCTATTTGCCTGGTCGTTTTTGCTGGCTTTTTCTGCCTGGTTCTTAAGTGTTTTCAAGCTGAAATTACGACATCCTCTGACACTTGTTTGTTAAGACTCTACACTTGATGTCAAAAGTGGGATTATGGGTACCACCCAGTGGCTCACTGAAGAACTTCAAGGCAGACAGCGAAGAAGAGAAAATGGCAAAAGAGAAGCTGGTGTAAGAGGAGCCGTTGAAAGAGAAAGTCACAGAAGATGAAATGAAACCTGGTTCTGCATTGACAGAGGAAAAAAGGAGAGCAAAGAAGTGTACTACTGGTGGAGCGGAGAAGCTGAGGCAACATGTACAGAATAAATGGCAGAGCGCATCCTCAATGATGTGGCTTTGGAGGGAGCAATGCAGTGAAAAACAGGAAAAGTATCTGGGGGCGGTAGGCAAAATGGCCCTTGAGTGAGTGACAGCATCATGGATAATTGGTGGTGTGGAAAACATGGGACATTGTGCTTTCCAATACTACAAGCCTGAGCTGACGGGAAACAAGATTGGCAACGTGACAAACCTGTATACTTCGTTTAGACTTACTGGTGGCAATGAGAGCTGTGCTCGACCTTGTGACCTTTCGGAGGTCTTGTTGATCTGACTCATGCAGTTCAGAGACCCTGAGGGTCTGGTAGTGGGGTGGTTTGCAGCATTACAGAAAAACAGCTTCTTTATTCAGCTCTGTGTTGTGTGTCTACACAGTGAAGACAATGCCCTGTCTTGCCATCATTGCGTTGCAGAGGAGTGCTGATACTGTTTGCACTTTGTGGAGAAAGCACAAATGGTGTAAAAGAGTTTTGTGGCCATCTACCCTAGTATCATTGGACTTGACATAATAAGCTCAAAGGAGTTCTGTCATGCCCAGAAGTAAGATGCTGAATTCTCCTGGGAGCATGTCTGGCTCCAGGTGGGGCAGACACCAAAATAAACAGATGTAACACTGCATGGGCCCACTGGCTGGGACCACCTGCAGTTGTACTAGGGGATGTTGTGGGTGGAGCCGGTGCCAGGTCAGCACGTCTGGCAGTTGCTGGTGCTGCACAGCCTGTGTAAAATATTGTTGGGTGTGACGCTTGGGTGGCTGGCATGGGGTACTTCAGGGCAGACAAGACCTTGAAGCGGCTGAGGCAGAGACTGTACTGGCTTGGCTGCCGCCAGAGAAACTATGGCTAGGGGTGACCTGTCTCCTTTGCCCAGCCATTTTCAGTAGCTTTTTCTGTGTGTTTCTTAATAAAAGGGCATTTTCAAGGTCCTCTCCTCTGATCCTTCATCACTAATACAATATTTAGCACTTACAAATTTTGTAGTGCAGACTTTTAGCTTTCAGTATATCTACATCTGAACCAGGTAAATGATGTAGAAATTACTACCATTTTCATACAGAGCCCCCACATTTTTAGGGTCTTGAAAGCAATCAGGCAATCGGCTGCTCAGCTGTTCCTTGATCAGGTGTGTTTTATTTTCTAATTATTTTACTTAGGTTTGATTTCAAGTGTTTGTGCACCTAATTGTATGTCAGAATGACATAATGATGTGATATTGTTAGCCAAGTGATGATGGTTACAAAACTGAACCAAATGGAGCACTTAAAAGTATGTTCTGTATTAATCAGTACAGTATGTCTGTATAACAGACATAGTGTCATGGTGACAGAGTGGCATTGACACTGACAGTCATGTTTTTTGAGATGGTGTCACGTGGGTGGCAGCCTGCTGCAGCAGCTCCTGCTCCCTTTGAAGTTTTTTTCTTACTTTCTGTAGTTTCTTTTTTCTTTTTTTAAGTGTTTATGCTTTTTTAGTTGTTTGCCAAGGGCTTTTGCACTATGAACACCAAACTTGTACAGTTTGCCCTGGTCCTTGCTCTACTTTTTTCTCTGTTTACAACCGCGTCTGGAGATCCTGTATGGAGCTGTTAGTAGGGTGAGAGTCCCGATATCCTCCATGAGCTGAAGAGGAGTCGTGCCAGAGCTTTTTGTCATGCCAGAAGGAAACATTATGGACCTGTTCTTCCCTCAGTTGTCATGGGAAAGGTAAGATCTCTTCCCAATAAGATGAATGAGCTGATGGCGCTGAACTGACATCAGAGGAAGTACCATGAGTATAGCATCATGCTGTTCACTGAGTCATGGCTAACTACGCTAACTCCGGACACGGTCATCAATTTGGATAGTTTCCAGCTCATACAGGCAGACATTGAGAGTAATAAGAGGAAAGGTGGATGGCTGGCAGTATTTGTGAATGATAGATGGTGTAATTCTGGGCACATCTCTATTAAGGAGCAAATATGCTGTAAGGACATTGAACTGTTAGCCATTAGTATGAGGCCATTCTACCTACCGAGGGAATTCTCGCACATTATTGTGATAGCTGCGTACGTTCTCTCCAGCTAATGCCGATGCTGCCTTTGACGTCCTGTACAAAGCTGTGAGCAGGCTGCAGACACAGCACCCACAGGCCCTCATTCTGATTTCTGGGGACCATGTTTCTCCATCCTCCACTCTGATTAAATTCACAGTGTGTAAACTGTCATACCAGAGACAATAAAATACTGGATTTTTTTATGCCAACATCAAGGAGGCATATACTGTAATTCATCACTCCCCCTCCCCTTGGAAGATCAGATCATAACCTGCTTTATTTTCTGCCTGTGTACAAACCACTAAATAGGGAAATTGGCGAGCCAGCTGTCACCTGCAAAGTGAAGAAATGGTCTGGGGAGACTGAAGGGGCTTTGAAAGGACATGGGAAGAACATTAATAGTCTCACACACTGTATAACTGACTATATAAATTTCTGCATGGAGAACACTGTACCCTCCAAGACTGTTTGGTGTTTCTCCAAAAACAAACCCTGCTGCAACCCCCCCCTTCTGCACTCCCAGTGTACTGCCCTGCCCCTTTTCCCACATTCACCACCTCTTCACATCTCTCACCTCACAGCCACCCCCACTGGTTTTCCTGCTTTCAGCTCAACCTCCCTACCCGCACACTCCAGCACTCAGCCCCCCTGCTCCAATCTGTGTCTTACAACAGGTTAAAGGGGCTTTGAAAGGACATGGGGAGGTTAAATAGGTTGCTTATTAATTCCCTTCTTGTTACTTCTTTTCTTGAGTGCCTTGCTATGCCTTTGCTGCTGTAGAACTGTGAATTTGCCCATTGTGGGACTAATGAAGTATTATGTTATTTATGTATAGTTATTGATAGTTATGTTTTCTCTAACTCGCTAATCTTCTCGTCATTGGTATTGATATTGTAGTTGCAAATTATAAATAAGGGCACAAATGGGTTCCTGAACATTACAGTGCACATCCACTGTTTGGATAAGTATCAGCTGGATAAGTATCCACTGTTTGGATAAGTATTCCATCAGCTTACGTGATTTAATTTAATGGTGAATTGTTTAGACATAGAATTGTTTAGACATAGATAAATTGTTTAGACATAGATGATAAGGTTTTGGTGTGAACTAGACTTTGCACTTTATTGTGCTCTGTGTGTGTGTGCGTTGAGTGGCAAGTGTGAGTTTTTCTTCTTTCTGCACACTAACTGCAGGATTGCAGGTGAAGGCTGTGTTGCTCTTGTTAGACCTCTGCAATCAAACCCCTCATCACAGCTGAGAGAGCTGAATCTGAACTGGATTTATCCAGGAGAGTCAGGAGTGAAGGAGCTCTCTGATCTACTGAAGCATCCACACTGTAAACTGGGCATACTACGGTGAGTTACTCATATTACAGCTGGAAACACTCAGCTCTTTTACATTCAGTATTGTGTGAATGTTTGTCAGAGAGAGAGGGAATATGTATGTGATAGGTGTAGTACTGACTAGTCAACTAAAATCCACTGGCCTTCATTGTGGGCAGCTGTAGAGCCTCAAGTGCTTAATGGGTAAATGTACATCTGAACTTTGTTGGTCTATTCATTTTAAGTATGTTAGAGAGATAATCTTGATGATGTGACATTGCTTGCCAAGTGATGCTTGTTGCAAAATTGAACAAAAGTCAGCACTTGAAATGTATACTCTGTATTAATCAGTACTACTGTATAACAGACATAGTAGCATAGTAACAGAGTGACTTTGTCACTGACAGTCATAACACTGTAATGATAGGACTGACCCTTGTTATTGGCATCTTAGAAGGACAAACATTTGGTTGCTGACTTCTTGGTGCTTTCCATTCACTGTTTGGATTAGTTTAATTCCATCAGCTCATCTCATTTAATTTGATGATGGATTGTTTAGACACACTAAGTATTGAATGGTAACTATAAACACAGGGCTTTCTCAAGGAATGGTTTAAAGAACACACTGACAGATAAAATCATAATGTATGTAAATATATTTCTTTTTTGTTAAGCTAAAAAATCAATTGTCATTTGTCTATTATTTTATATTCATAAGTTTTTAAAAAGTTAAAAAGTGACACAAATAACAGAGCTGTGTAGGGCCATAAAATTACAGTCTCAATTTGTTGCACAAACAAGACCAAAATATTGTATATGCATAGATTTATTTTTTTGATATATGCTATAACCCTATAAAAAGTGTGATTTCAGTATATTTCAAAGGAGATTACAATGCACTCACATGCAAGAGGAAGAAAATAGACTAGATGTTTAAAAATGGCACAAAGCTCATATTTCATAGATGAAATATGAAAAATGATCACCTAGTGAATATCTAGTCAAACTGTAGAAGTTTATTGAGCAACGAACAAAAATAAATGAGCGTATCATCAGATCGGTCTGCTGTTATAGAATCAGGCAATGTGGAGCATGAAGCTACATGACATGACTGGCAAGACAAAAATATGATATAGGCATAGATTCATTTATAGTATAATACTGTAAAAAGTGAGATTGTGTGATTTCACTCGGGAAACATGGATAAAACTGGATCCATATCTCTTTCACTAGATGGATGACTAATAATGCCTCAGAGACTTTTTTTGGTGTGAACTGGCTTTTGTTGTGTGTCGTGCTGTGTGTGTTGAGCTGTAAGTATAAGGAGTTTTTCTTCTCTATGCAGGCTGGAATACTACAGTAATACAGAAGAAGCCTGTGCTGATCTGGTTAAAGCTCTCAAATCAAACCCTTCACATCTAAGAGAGCTGAACCTGAACTACAATAATACAGAGTCTGCAGTGAAGGAGCTCATTGATCTACTGGAGCATTCAGAGTGTAAAATGGAGAAACTAGAGTGAGTTACTCCTATTACTAATGTGTGTGTGTATGTGTGTATGTGTGAGAGAGAGAGAGGTGTGATTGAGGTTGCACTGACTAGTCGACTAGTCAACTAACCAAAGCTGTAGAGCCTAAAGCATAATGTGGAAATATTTTGAAGTGCTGAAAGTTGTGTGAGACTACTCTGAAAGACAAAACAGAGATTGCTGGGGAGTTTTTAGCATTTTGATGTGCAGGACTTATCTACATCAACAGGAAAGGGTCATTTAACTGACATCCAAATGACAATGACAAACCACAGAGTATGCATATGCAGTTACATTCATGCCACTAGAAATTAAATTGCAAAAATCTGAATCTGAATGTCAATATTTTGAATTTTACATCATACCACCTGAAATTGAATTCTGAACTGTAATTGAGTTTCAATCTGAATCTGAATTTCATGGTTGTTGCACAACAGAATGTCTGAAATTCAATGTCTAAAAAGTGTTCAGTTTTTTTTTTTTATTAATTCACATTTCGGTTTCAAAATAACATTGTGTCTTGCAGACAAAAGCACTCAAACACCTGATGTTTTCGCTGTTGCCATCCCCCATCTCCTATCTTGGACATACACTTACAAGCTATTTATCAGAAACACCTACCATAGAGGTATACTATAGTAGTGGCACAAGTATATCAAGCATATTGGTAATAGACAGGCCTCCAGCAGCACGTAAAAAATACATTCAGTCTATATGCATCTATGTTAAAAATGCAGTTTCTCATGCAGAGCCATCTGTGGGCTCGAAGGTGATGCATGACACATATTCAGCAGTGGTTTCTGGCCCTACAAGCACTGAGATTTCTCCAGATTCAAACAAGACTGTAAAATACATAAGTTGCTGTGTAGTTTGCAAACATTTTTGCAACATTTATCTGGCTCAAAAAGACTCAATGTGTGCACAGCATCTTGTACAAATATCTAAAGCTCTTAGGTAAAAGTCGTATTTTTTTCTCTGTAGCCTGGAAAGTTGCTTTATTCCAGAGGAAGGCTGTGCTGCTCTGGTTAAAGCTCTGAAATCAGAACCATTACACTTGCAAGTGCTGAATCTGAACTGGAATGATCTAGGAGATTCAGGATTGAAGAAGCTCTCTGATCTTCTGAAGGATCCACACTGTGTTCTGGTAAAATTACTGTGAGTTACTGACCTATTGACTCTGCACATACAAACAAACAAACAGTTACGTTCATCAGCATGTTTGACATAACAGCAGAATGTTGTAACAAAATGACAAAATGCCAAATGAAATAAAAAAATCTACTACATCAATTACTTTCAACTCTCTTTCTCTCATTAACACACACTATACAGAGTGTCTGATGTGATGCAAAGTTTTTAGATCACAGTGTTTTGTGTGAGAGTGTAATCTAAAAACTTTGCATCACATCAGATACATTTTGTGTGAGAGTGAGAGTGCTTTAAGGCCATCACACGCTGGACACAAAGTGTTGTGTAGTAGATATAGTATAAAATGCAGCTTTACTGCATAGAATATGTTGCAGTGAGAGCACTGATAAACATCAAGATAAAGTTCATTTTAAAGCTTTGTGTATACCTTTATTGCAATTAAACTTGTGAATTCAACATCACTTGTGAATTCAGCCCATTTGGTATCAGCTAACCCTTCACAAACTCACTGTTTTAGAGCTAAAAGAAATAAGGCGAAAAAGCCTAGCTAGTAACTTTTGTTGAGGTGATGGGTGTTTGTCTTTTAAATAAAATATCTTAAATATTTTTGATTTCTCTGTGTAAATTCTTTGTGTGCTCTGTTTCTGGCTTTAGTTTAAGGCAGTAATGACAAAATACTGATTAGTGCACTGTGGCACACAAAAATTGAACGTATGTTGGCATTGATGTGCGCACCTACATTAACTCTCGAGAGTCTTGGGCTATTTTGGCCATTTGTGAATGCTTTTGATTTGCATTTATGTATCACATTAAGAAATGTTTACCATGCCAAAGTAAAAATTTGGCATGTGTACATTGGCATGGTAAAAGCACAAACATGCTCAATTACTTATTTTTAAAGATTGCAAATGTAAACATAGGCTGCAAATGTAAACATTTAATGTTACAATTGGCATAAAATGAATCTACATAGAACTATTTACAACAAAAAGCAGGTTTAGCCATAGGCACGTTTTCTTTTTAGCTATGAAAGTCTTCAAAACAATTTCTGTCAACAATGACACAGAGAACTACATTACGGGACTGTATTCCATGGTTTGTAGTTTCTTTTTTATCCACTTGGTTATAGTGTTTGCAGGTCCCTGCAACCTTGTGGCTTTCTCACTGGCATCTGTAACTGCCACCAGGCTAATCCCTTTGTGCATGCTTTTATGCATGCATCAATATGATTTTTACATCAAATTTAAATGATTGTGTCTTTGGTTTTACTTGGTCTATCAACACCAAACAAAAAGCTGTTAGTGCTTAACGTAAGCACTTTCGAAAGAAGTGGACAAGCAATGCTCAACATGACTTGAACGAGCCACATTTTTTCGGTGCCCTCTGAGCATCAAAAACAATAGTTCCAATTTTTTTATGCTGTGTGACGTAATGCAGATTGTGTGGTATGGGTGGTTTTCTTATTTTGTCTGTAGGCTGGAGTGGTGTGGTATTACAGGTGAAGGCTGTGCTGCTCTAGTTAAAGCTCTGAAATCAAACTCCTCATCACAGCTGAGAGAGCTGAACCTGAGCTACAATGAACCAGGAGATTCAGGAGTGAAGGAGATCTCTAATCTAATAGAGGATCCAAACTGTAAACTGGAGATGCTACAGTGAGTTACAGACTGACCATTTCTACACACACAAATACACTCACACACAAACAGAAAACACAAAATTTCATTAGCATGGTTGACATAACAGTAAAATATTGTAAGAAAACAACAAAACTCCAAATGAAATGTAATAAAAATATACATATATAAATAAATATATCATCTCCATCAGAAGTTACCGATTTAACCACTAAAAGGGTCATATGTAAACATCGCATATGTCCATATAAGTCCATATAAGTCCATGTGCCAGCTTAATTTTTACTTAAGATTGTACCATGACCCGAACTGGCCTTTGTTTATTCAAAATGTGCCAAAACTGGAACAGAAAAATAGGCTTTAAATACTTCAACTATTCAAAAACTATTTTAAATTACAAATAAATTGTTTTATATGAAACAATAAGCTAAATTAGCTACAGATAACTGTTAAACCTCTTTAAAAGGTAGGTAGGTTTTCAAAAACTGCCTATTTGCTTGAACTAGATACCAGGCATCTTTTCTCTTTGTGTGTGTTATTTAATGTAAATAACCAATATTTACAAGAGAACAAACAAAATTTAAAAGGCAGTAATGTATGATAAATGAGAAACTAATTTATAATTGTTGTATATTATCAAACATAGCTTTCTGTTATGTTGGTATTGCTAAAAGTCATTTTTTCTTAATCACTGTTAACTAAATAACTGTTCATAAACTAATTATATCAAAATAAGTGAGCATGTTAATTCCTAGTAGATCAGCGTTTGTTAAATTTGCTCCTGACAAACAGCAGAGAATGTACAGTGAGTGTACAGTGAATCTTTCTTTCTCAAGTGCTTGTTGAGCTGTGTGAGAAGTTTTTCTTCTTATTTTGTCTGTAGGCTGGAGTGGTGTGGTATTACAGGTGAAGGCTGTGCTGCTCTGTTTAAAGCTCTGAAATCAAACCCCTCATCACATCTGAGAGAACTGAATCTGAACTACAATAAACTAGGAGATGCAGTAGTGAAGCAGATCTCTGATCTACTGAAGGATCCACACTGTAAACTGGAGAAACTAGAGTGAGTTACTGCTGTTGCCACATGCACACACAGTTAAGTTCATCAGCATGTGTGTCATAATAGCAGAGTAACTATTTTCACTGTCTAAACATACTCGCTCTCTTTTTCTGTTAAACATCACTTGACTCTCTGACTTTGTTGCCACTGTCCCAACTTTTTTGAAACATGTTGCTGGCATCAAATTAAAAAGGAATATCTATTTTTCAGAAAACAAAAAAAAATAATTTCAACATTTGATATGTTTGTACTATTTTCAGTTAAATGTAGAGTTTAAAACATTGTATTCTGTTTTTACCTACATTGTGCACAGTGTCCCAAACCTTGGAATCATGGTTGTAACTGTAAATCTCTCCTTAAAATGACTTGCACTTGTATCTCTCTGCAGTGTAATTTAATAATATATTATAGGCCAAAATCTTCCCAAAACTATCATAAAACAAAGACATCAGGAAGTGTACTAACTTTCTGTGAGGGAGCTTTTAGAGATGGATGTCTGGTTTCCATCACCACCAGTGTGAACATTTCTGACTCTGTAAGTTTCCCTAGAATGAAGCATTTCACACACCTTATCCATTTAATTAAGCAGATAAATAAAAAATGCTGGAATTTCCCTTAAAGATAAATGCTAGAAAGCTAAATGAAATATACAGTAAGTTGTAAACAATATTAAAAAAAACAGACAAGGTATGGAAAACAGAAAAAAAGTACTATTTTTTGTATTGTCAGTCAGAACCTTCTATGATATTAATTTTGGTGAATGCCCCTTTTTTCGTTCCCACTGTTAACTAAAAACTGTTTATTAACTCAAATATCAAAATTAGTTAGCATGTTAATTCCTAGTAGAGGAGAGTTTGGTAATTCTTCTCCTGACATACAGCAGTGCACAATGAATCTCTCTTTTGGTGTGGCATGCCATGTTTTCTCAAGTGCTTGTTGAACTGTAAGTGTGTGGAGTTTTACTTCTTATTTTCTCTGCAGTATGTATGACTGCAGTATAACAGGTGAAGCCTGTGCTGCTTTGTTTAAAGCTCTGAAATCAAACCCATCACAGCTGAGAGACCTGAATCTGAACTGGAATGAACTAGGTGATTCAGCAGTGAAGGAGCTCTCTGATCTACTGAAGGATCCACACTGTAAACTGGAGATACCACAGTGAGTTACTGACTTCCTTTCTATACACACACACAAAGTGACATTCATAAACATGCTTAACATAACTGCAGAATATTGTAACAAAACAAAATGCCCATTAAAATGAAAAAAAAAACTGTTTTCATTGTTTGCCCATATAATCTCTCTCTCACTCTCTCTCTCTCTCTCTCTCTCTCTCTCTCTCTCTCACTCTCTGTCAGAGACAGAGGTTTCTACGCCTTATGCAGCCATTGCTGACAAATCAAAATGTAGTTGGCTGATTTCTCTTTCACTTCTTAATCATGTTAGTAGGTTACATGTAAGGCCTTCAATCCAGTTCTTGAAATCCTAACCAAAGACAAACCTCGCTTGCCCTGACCTAGATACCATAGAGAAAAAGCTGCACATTTTCTGTTGGATGTTTCAAGAATTTAACGCCTGATCACAATGTGTTCTTTTCTGTGTTACAGAATTACACCTACAGCTGAGTGGTCATAAGTCTCCCACAGTGGACGTTATGAAGAGGACACACACACACAGAATGCAGATCTACATGCTCCATGTTTTGGTCCTTACTGCTGAAATCTGTCCAATGTCCATTATGTCTGTGGAGGTCTATAAGCATTGCAAGCATGAGCCAAGTTTTTTAAAGTAAACGTACATGTGAGTTTATGTAAAATCATACTGTGAAGCATGGCGGAAGAGCTCAACCAAACAGAAATGTATTGTATTGTATCTAACTTTGCATAGTCTTTGAAGACTGCTTTCATTTAGCTAGTCATAGATGTCAGGGCTTTTTTATTCTAGAAAAAGTGAACTTTTATGAACTGAAATTTTGACCTTTGAAGTTTGAGTATGGAAGCATATCACTATTAAAATTTATATGAAAATATAATATGTAAAATGACAATGTAAGTTTGCATTTAAATTTCCCACTAATATATGCAATGTTGAGCTCAAAATGAAAATTCAATACTTTGATTTTAATTTGCCATTTGGTATACTAATATTGATATTTCATTTACGCAAAGATTTAGATACTTTATGAATAGCTTTTTTGATTTTGATTATGCAATAATTGTATCAAAATGATAAGTAAAAACTAATTTATCTTATATGGATTTTCAGTTTTTAATAATGTATTTAAATTGCATTAGTAAAGAGAACACCAAGCGTGAAAGTGGGTAAGGTTCAAATGTAAAAAGGGAAACAGCGCCTCTTCTGTTTGCATTTACATATTGCACATTCTGGTGCCTCAATGTGTCCCGATGTTACAGCAGCACCGTTTACAGAAAATAACTAAGTTAAGCCTTGTTTCATAAACAGAGAGGTGGCTGAAAGTGAGGCTGTTAATAAATAAGTATTAATAAATAAACATTATTTTAAAAAAGGAAAGCAGGACATTGGAGAACGCCGAGTTAAATTTGGTTCAAATATATTACGGTACCAACACGGTACAGCAGCCACTGTGACAGGATGGTTGTGAGACTTACAAATGTCTATGTGTACCAGTACCATTACAACAAAATAATTTTAAAAGTAGATTGTTGATGCCTTCTGTGTACCTTAGAAAACAGCCCTCGATGCTGGATTCATGCTCTGCCCTGACAGGATAATTGACAGGTTGGGAAGTCCATGAAAATTATAATATTATTTGGTGAAATGCATTTTGAAAAGTATTTTGCCACAGAATGAGTGCAGAAGGAGAGACTATGTAATTGCAAAGCAGAGAGACGATGTTTCCCTCTTTCAAGCTTGGTGTTCTCTTTGATAATGCAATTTCAAATGCATTAAAAATGCAAATACAGTGAAAATGCATAAGAGATACATTACAATTCTTGTATTAATGTAATTTCATGACTTGTTGCATCACCAACAAGTAATGCCAAAGCCCTATGCCTACAATGGAAAAATACACAATACTGAGAGCAAGTGGTTACTGGAGTCCAAATTCAAAGTACTGGTGAGTGGTCTGCCTCTGCCCCCTCTTCCCCAGACTTGAAGCTCATGTAGGTTGCCAAGTTGTAGATGCTGAATCTACACAAATGAGTGCAACATTAAACGTTGACAATGGCAAGCAACGACAAGTGCTACACTGTAAGTTGATCAGCTAATGTATACATCATGTTTCTGTTGTTTGCAAATTATAAACTCATGTAGATTTTTTATAACTCTGTCTGTTTTAGCTAGATGCTTGGCTGGCTATGTATTGTAGCCAAAGCTAAGCCCGTTATCTGTTAGAGTGGAGCATTCATATATTTAGAGTCACATTTAGAGAATTTGAATGAATGAAATGCCCATCCCTACTAGTAGCTGTGATAAATTAGTTAAGGTTAGCTAACCTTAGCTGAAGCTCAATGTTTTCCAGTTTAGGAGAAAACCAGCAAATGTGACATCCATCTTAAAGGCCTTCTGGGCTCTAACCTGTCTCTTTCAAACACATCGGCAATTTTCGCTTGCGTTTTACAAAGTCTCTGGTCATGGAGCTTTTTAGAAAGATGTTGAGGCTTTTTAGTCAGGTAGAATCTAACCTATCTCTGTTGATCCATTTCCTCTGCATGCTTCCATGGCTGCAGCACACTGTGTTTGCCTGTCAAAATAAATATATCTTATGAGTTTGTGCTAAACCTTCAGTACATATGCTGAATAGGTCACACAAAATACCTACTGAGATGCAGTTTCTTTTTAAAGTACTCCTGTGTTGCACACTAAAACTAGTCATACAATGAAAACAACCCAAATCAAGTATATCACAAGTATGGCCCTTGTAAAAGGGGGCTCTGTGGAGCTTTTGTTTCTCCTGCAGACAGAAACAGACAAAATGTAATAAAACAGCTATGACAAAAATGATACTGAAATTACAGTATTGCACTTTTATTGTGACAGCCTCATTGTGTCAGTCAGCCCATGTGGGCGCAGACAGAAAAGGAGAAAAGGGCTTTACCTAATGAAAGCTTAGCAGTAAAACCGTCATTTGGTGCTACTGTCATAGCCTATTCAGCATATGTACTGAAGGTTTAACACAAACCCATAATATATATATATATATATAAATATATATATATATATAAATATATATATATATGTGTATGTATATATATATATATATATATATATATATACACATACCAGTCGGTCAATAAGTGAAATGTCAATTATCGGCTTTATAAAACTCAGCACAGAACAGTGCACTAAAAAGGGAAAAACTCTGTCCTCAGGCTAGGCTAGCTCTTATCTAGCTCTAGGCTAGCTCTTATAAGAATATTTCCTTCAGGATCTCCATTAGATAAGCTCAAAAATCCTAAAAGTTTATTTCTTTATTTTTATCCATTTACAGAAGTGCAGAATATTATGCTTGTGGATCAAAGTGAAATATTTGAATTATTTATTGCTTTCCTGTATTTATATGGGAATAAGGACATTAGTTCAAGTCCTGCATGGTGCACTTTTGGGTTGATTTTTTTTGGGTCTTTTTTAAAGGAAACACAGCAGAGCCATTTCAGCCAATCAGAACAGTCCAGTCTAAGAAATACTGATGAGCTCAGTAAACAAAAAGCCCAGGGCAGTTTTTTATTCCACTGTAAAGGTGGCAGTGCCCAGTGTGACCACTAGGGGCTCCCTCTGACTGTGTTGCTAATCTGTGAGTCCTTGCCCAAGATCAAAGAGACCAGGGAAATTCTGGTTTATATACAACAGCAGCTATGAACAACAGTCAGAGACTGTGTATTAGAATTTTTCACCATACAGTCAAAGTTTGAGCTGCCCAGTTCAGTGAAGGTGTGACTTTGTTCCTATATCCAGATTCTGTTGGGTTCTTGCTGGTTCAGGTTGAGGCTGAGTGGCTGGACTATTTCATCCAGGCAGGTTACATGAAAGGTGGGTGAAGGCCCTGCAACTGGCTCCAGACTGCATTGGACAAGGCTGACACAGGAAGTTCTCCAGCTGTCCTAGAGAAGCCTATGTGTTCCTCTGCTAGGCTAACTCCATCAAGATCAACCAGGATCAAATCTGCTCCAAGAGGATTAGCTGAGCTTCAGGGTGCCTTTGGCAAAAGGTTTGATATAATAATTTTAGTAGACATTTCATCAGACCTCACGTTTTCTCCTCTTTCTGTTTCAACTGGAGAAAAACAGAACTCAAATGTCCACCTGTTCCACTCCTGTCACATCAGAGGGAACTGAATCTGGGGCTCAATAAACCTGGAGAGCTGCTCTCTGAGCTACTAGAGAACCTGCAAACTGCAGAGACTGCAATGAGTTAATCACTTACCCTCTTTGGATATATGTATTCACACAATGGCTGGTGATGGTGATCTGTGATACTCTAAAGCACATCCCTTGTAACCCCAGCAGGGACACAGACTGATCATTGTGTATTAGACCAGAGCCAACAGACAATGGAATCTATCGAGTTGGATGATTTGAATACCAGGAAACATGCTGTTAGCTTTAAGTTGCACAAAAATAGTCTTGAAATCTCTGTTTTCTTTTATTGTTTTGGTCTATATGTTATACCAATCCCAATATGCTTTCTGTCTTTGAAACAGGGCAACAAATTATCATTCTAGAGCAGTGCAAGCCACCTGTAGCCTCAACCCCACCCCCACCCCTCCACCCTGGAATTGAACATTTTCCCTTTTTCCTCTCCGAGTTCTGTTTGCATCACAAGCTGTTAAATCTATAGCAAGAACTACCAATCCATACAAAGACTATATTCAGCATAGAAACAGAAGCATGTTTATTTTTCCAGTTTGAGCAGGCTTCACGCTCATGCCTAATAAGTCACCAACCCCACTCACCAAAACCTTTCATTATACAGTCGCTAATTGATCATTAATAGGACAGTGGTATATTGCACACTGTGCAACTAGAAAAACTGGCAACACAACAATAAGTGTTGATTAATTAACATCAAGTATTGCACTTGATAACAAATATTTAAGTGAACAAATAACAGTTTCATTCATTCCTATTTTTCACTTAATTTGTATACTGAATAGATAAATAAATGTTTAAAAAGCAATTTTACATAATACCTTTATTATCTATAATGTGATTTTAGCAGTATTGGGTGGTTACTAGTTACATTTACTTATAGTTTGATGGGCTTTTCTGAGAATCAAATGATAACACTTCTAGTCCTCTGTTGATTTGACATTTTGTGTCTAATTCTCCATTTTTTTGGGTTTAATTTCATTCTGTTTGTTGGTTCAGATCTTGAAATACTTCACTGCTGCTCACACCTCTCACTTTGGAGATTTAGCTTTTTCATTTTAGACCAAAATGATCCTACAAAACAGAGGATTAAAACTTAACAAACATGAGTTCCTACATTGACAGATGCTGGATGTACTAACAATTACCACTACGTTCGTAACGGGTTACTCACTGCTGAGGTAGTTTTTGAACTGATGTGTACAAGTTGTATAAGTTAGTTTTTTTGGAAAGGTGCTTTAACTACAGCCATTATTTCACTGCAGTTACAATATTTTTATTTGAGTGTGGGTTTAGGCTATTCACACTTCTGTGCTCCATTACTACATTAATTATATACATATGTTTAAATTACATATGTAAATAATGAGCTGCAGCCGTATTATATACGATCTAATCATTCTGTCCTGTTTTCTGTCTTACAGGTTTTGAAATCCTCACACACACATGACCTGTCACACACCGCTGACTATGAGGACTCTCACACACACACATGCACACAGACCCACACACACAGCGTAATTCTACATGCGAAAGGTGTGTTTTTGTCCTTATTGCTGAAATCTGTACATTGTCTATTATGCTAATTATGTCTATGGATATATGCATGCAGTTAGAAACATGAAAGGTGGGTGAAGGCCCTGCAACAGGCTCCAGACTGCACTGAACATGGCTGAGACAGGAAGTTCTCCAGCTTTCCAACAGAAGCCTCTTCTTCTGTCCCTCAGCTAGGCTAACTCCATCGAGATCAGCCAGGATCAAATCTGCTCTGGGAGGATTAGCTGAGCTTCGCGGTGCCTTTAGCCAGCTCTGGGTGGCTTTTATATGGAACGTGATTTGAGGGCTGTCAGGTGCAGCACTGTCTCTATAAGTGGAGGAATGGAAGCTTTCCATTGAAAGATTTCCAGCTACTACCAGTGAATGAAGCAGCAGCAGTCTTTTCCACATTAGTCTGGATGTGCTCAATCATTTTAGCCACTGGACCCTCAGGGATAAATAATGTGTATTCAGTTCTATTGATTTCAGTTCAGTCTGATTCTGAGCGACGGTAAAGGTGAATGATCATCTGGAGAAGAAGTTTGATAGAATAGACATTTCACTTTATCGGACCTTCAAGTTTTCTCCTTCAGGTATTTCAGCAGGGGAAAAACAGAGCTCAAGTCTTAGTTGTTTCCTTCGACATTGGAAGATATCATTCAGTGTTGTTCAAGTTCTGTTAAAATGGTCAGGGCATGGTATGCTGTGGTCCCTTTTAGAACTAGACCCCACTGTTTGATAACTGTGTGGATAAGAAAAAAGTGAACTAGACTTCTAAATCCTCAAACATTTACATTTTTTTACAAAGAACAGTGGTTTGAGGTGTTTTGGATGCTAGCCAAAAACATTTCTACCAATTTACCCAA